GGTACCTAAAATTAATAAAAAAGGTAGATAAAGAGGATATAGAGAGAGAGAGAGAGATACTTATAAAAAGAGAGATCTACCGAGGATAGGGTTTATATAGACCCTACCTAAAGATTACTAGCAAATAAGTAATTAAGTAAATAAACCTCTAAAACTATCTAATTAACACTTAATATATTAATTTCTAAGACCTAAGATAATAACGCCTAGTAGGGAGAGCCCTATACAAAACAGAGCCTACCTATTACCTTAGTAGGTTCAATAACAGTAACAAGCTATAAACCTAAAGCTATTCCCACTGCCTAAATAGGCAAGATCTCCGGGCAGGCGGAGGTGAGAAAAGCGAGAGTTTTGACTAGGTAGTACTAGGCTTAGTACCACCCCTGTATGTAGGGAGAGACACACAGATACCAGGGATATTAACTAGTAGTTAAACCGTTAATAACAAGCTCCCGGGCTTATAACCTGTTGATGTCTACGATGGTAGACGATAGTGTACAATATGTAAATTGTTGTAGAGTTACTGTACAAACTAGGAAAGATGACTGACTATATAGTCAGTAACTATGGGATGGCGAGCCTGTGGCATCTGAGAGATAACAAACACAGGGGAGCGGATGCGGTTCGGATGGAGCGTATGGACAATCTTAATTCTAGCCCTAGGGCTGAATTGTCGCCCTCACCCAGACCGGAGGGTCTCTTCAATTCCCATTCAGATGCCGTTGAACATTTTTGTAATGAGTCTCGGGTGTTTGAGGATTTGATTGATTATTTACCTTTGGTTGGGGAGTGACAAGATTGTTAGTTTAGTAAATCCATAGATGTTCTACCTAGCAGTAGCATCTATCTGATGTGGAAAGCAACAACATCACAACAGTCATCACCGTATTCAAGTTATCTAGATATATCACTTCTGCTCGTTATAGAGTACCACGTTTAATAGAAGCTAATGGTTATCCTGATCAGGTGGCATTGAAAAATGATGAATATAGTATTGTAAGAAGTACAGCTGAGCCAACCATCTTGTGCAGCACATCAGTTTCTCTTATTTTCCCTCTTCTGGAATACCAGCTTCAATGGTGCCGTGGCTAAAGTGAAAGTGTCTTGCTTTCCATCGAGGAAAGCAGCTGCGGTTTGATCTGGGGCGAACGAGACGTCATACCGGGTGAGTATTTCAGCAGTCACACTGCGGAGTTCCATCAGACCTAACTGTTTCCCAACGCACGAATACGGGCCTAGTTCAATGATAATTGACTGTTAGCATCTTCAAACTTGGATCTTGATCATACCCGTGCAAGATATGCAAGGAAAAAACATACCAGTGTTGAATGGAATAAATGCAGTAGGATCTTTCACTAGTTCTGGTTGCGTATTCCACCTCTCGGGCAAAAACTCCCGTGGGCGAACAAAGATGCGCTCATCTGACCACTGTTAGCTTTGTTCTTGAGCTGGTAAAGTACTGGTAACCACTGATTTCTCACCTCTGAATAAAGTGTGTTGGGGAATGCACACCATCAAATTCCCAGGAATGTACGTGTTGCCGATAGTGATACCCTCTGGGGGAGTCAAACGCTGTGTTCCCGAAGGTACAGCAGGGTGGAGCCGGAGAGTTTCATTGATTATTGCGTCAAGTAATTTCACCCCTGTCAATTTGTCATGGGACAGGCTCGAAAGAGCGTCTAGTTTTGTCTGGAGCGCTTTGTATAGAGTGCGGTCTGAGGCGAGATGGAAGAATATGTTGGTAAGGGTCGCAGCTGTAGTGTCACTTTGAATAGACCAAGTTAGCACAGGTTATTTCATAATGAGGTTGACATTTGGAGCACAAAGGGATGATAAAGTACCTTCCAGCTACGATGATTAGGTACGCATCACCGTGGAGGTCAAGGCTGTCCTGCCTCGTCTTTGGACCCTGCTCATATGCCTTGAGGATCCATGAAAATACATCTGGGCGATCTGGAGTATTCTATACTCCAGCGTCTTATTAGCAATTTGAACTTCAATCTCCCTGCCTTGAGAGTTAGGTTATTGAGAGGTGGTTTTCTAACCTGAATCCTTTCATACACCCGCCCGTCCACCCATTTCCAAAACTTAAGATATTCCGCGTTGATCACAGGGATTTTCTTGAAGAATGGAAATAGCCAGGTGAGATGACTGAAAAGCCCAATGCCTTTCATATCAGCATGTAATTGCTTCAGGATATAAGCGTCTTTGCCATCAATTAGCATGTTGAAGGATTTTCCAAACGCCAAATCACCCATAACATCAAAGCTGTAGTAATTGAACCACTGGGAAATGTTGATTTGGTTTCCCACTTCCCTTTCAATAACATTGATTAGTTGTTCCGTGTAATGGGAGACACGAGGCTCGTAATCACGGAGTGCTGGAGGACCTTAGAACGTGCTCCTCGTAATATTAGGGGCCATCCCAGGAGATAGGAATTCCATACCTCGGGAGCTAAAGCCTTGGTCCCAGACCTTCTTTCGCCGCGCGTGCTCCTGCCTATTTCTGACCATCTGTAATGAAACCCGCGGTTCCAAAACCGTGTACCAAGGTCCCTTGGAGACCTTCGCGGAAGAACTGTAAATTGCCTTGACTGCGCGTGGATCGGTAATAGACAACTCAGTAGGCCCTAAAGGTTCATAGAGGTACGGTAAATTAGTCCGATACTCCAAAAAGGAGAGAATAGGAAAGTAATTGCTTCCTACCTAACCGCACGTAATCTCCATATAGTTCATGGAGCTTCTCAGTCTCCTCATAAAGGTGAAGCTTGCGGGCAGACAGAGCAGTCACATAGAAGTTCGATAATTTCGCCAAAAAAGGACCAGGGAACCTTGATAGACGATGTAAAAAGGCTCGGTAGAAGAGCATACTCGTGTAGATACCCAAGATGTGGCACCCTATAAGTTTGGCGGCTAGATGGCTTGGCCCAGCAGGTGGGAGATCATTTTGCTTGTACCGTTCCAGGAAGGTAGCACTAATAAACAGAAATATGTATGAAATCACAAGGCGCGGAGCCTTGAGATCCCATTCTCCACGACGATAGAGAAGAACATGCGCGGTCAAACCGCTGAAGCCCGCGAGTGCTAGGAGTGTACTGGGAGAATTACCCACTATGGTGTAGGAGTGCATCATATGCGACGACAGAGGAGGTTCGAAAAAGAATGAGAAATATTGGTTTGCGAGAGACTATGATATCTGCATTTTTGTTGGCTATATAGGGGTTTGATGTGGGCAGATAAGGGTCTACGATAAGCAAAAGAAGGGGCTACCTACGGGCGAATGCCTAACCCTCCAGGGCTGGAGTACATGATACTTTACATAACCGGCCCGAGGCCTTCCAAGGTTAAACTTCTCAGGTGCGGGCAACATAATAAAGTTTAACCTTAATTTATGGCTTTGGGGCTCCGGGGTTGGGCAAGGACCCCGCAAATCCCCGCAAATCCCCGCAAAAGCCCCGCAGAACCTTTCAGCACCGAGGGAGCGGTAAATACATGTATGTGACGATATGTGCTGATCATGACTCGAATTGTACTATGGTACGATTGGAATTCCCTGTCCGGGTATATTTATTTACTTCTCTCTATCTCTGTCTCTCCCCCCCCCCCCCCCCCCCCCCCCCCCCCCNCTCTGTGCGGTGAAAATTATATGAGCTGTCCACCATACCTTTGAAGACTAGAAAATAAAACAGTGCGAAATGGGCTAAGAAATGAAGGAAAGAAAACGACGTATGGATTGCGGTTCCAGGATTTACTCTCCAAAGAAGGCTATACTATCAGATAGTGTATCAATTGATACTGGATCAATTGGAATCAGTCGATCGCTATTCGTAATACCATCTTCCTCCAAGGTGTATATATCATGGGATGACATGCTGCTGATACTTGGTCCCAGTATTGTACTCATGTTATTTTGTCTGGGATACCGTAGTGTGCCTGATAAGCAGCTTTCTGTATTCCGCATATGTTCATTTTTCTTTGACTGAACAAGCTGGTGGGAGGTAGACTGGGGACGAGTAGGGGACATCACTGCAAGCTCTGGGTGCAGTGGGGGCATTGAAAGCTCTGCTGATGGAGTTATCATCGTTGCTTCTGAGTATTCCAGAGTGAGGTGGCCAGTGGCCATTGAAACATCCATGATGCTAGCCAACTTGAAGTACAGTGCCGGCTGTAATTCAAGCATATACGAGCTGGGTTTCCCCGGAGACGACCTCTGGGAATGAAAAATACCCGCTGCACGATCTTCGGTACAGGGTACAGACAACTCAAACATATGAAGGATCTGACTGACCCAGAGCGTTACATGGGATACATCGTAGCGTCGAAGATACTGACGATTGAGTTCGCTGTAAATCTTCAACGCATGTTCTTGGCGCCTGCGGCCTATGTTGTCATTTGAAAGTCGGAGGTTGAAGTTCAACACCATCTGGGGTAAAACAGTGTACGCGACAACACTGATGGGCAAGTGGCTAGCGGTGCCATCGACGACAAAACGCTTGACTGTGTCGTTTATTTTTGTGACTGCGTCCATCAAATCAGGCCAGCTTTCACGATGCTGGCGTTGATAAATCCGCAAAGAAAGATGATGGTACAGTGCTAAACGAGCGGATCTAATTCAGAATAATATTAGCCACTTGCCTAGTTCCGTTTCAGGAGAGTTGTTTGCTCTTACTCAAAGTACAAGATAGTCAATTGCTTATAAAATACGACACACGCATGAAGACTAGAGTCCTCTGGAGACAGTTGAAGCATGTACTGGGTCTTCCAGTCATTAAGACGAGATTCAATCTTGTCTATTCGACTCGCTTCGGGAGTGGTGTCCTGCGAATCGATGAATATACCCAGGGGATATAGTATCATGATCAGATCTGTCAAAACAAGGGCAAGCTGACACTGGCTAGTCATAATTTTGCACAGCATAATTTTAGTTTTGGAGTCGCAGACCTCGGAGGAATAGATCTCATCGTATAAGTCCTCGACCAGCAATGGATCTCGTGATGTAGGGTCAAAGTGAGCCGGGAGTATCTGCAATGGTCGCCGCATGCCCAAAGAAATGATCCTGTCACGAATAACAAGGCACCACCAGAGCCGCTTGAGGTCCGATTGCTTGTATTTGGACTTGGTAGGATAACAATGATAACGGTGTGCATTTGCAGCGCGACCCTGCTGGATAGCCAGAGCAAGCCAAGTAGTGTTGCTCAAATGGTCTAACCTGGTACTTTGATAAGTAAGTAACAATGATGCCTGAGAAAGACATAGATGGTCTCCTTCAATGCCAAACTCATAAAAAATCTCAAATATTTCGTCAGCATATCTCTCGGGGCTCAGGATACCGCCTGTCAATGCATCCGCACACACACCTTGGCACGCTGGTAGAATGTATTGCGCATGATGAGGATGGATTCAGCTCCTGATTGTCTTGCATCGTTTAGTGAGATATACTTGGGACAGGTCAGCGATAAGGTCATTAGACATAGAGTGTATCCCCGGAGGATTGATGTGTTAAAACCTACGCTACAAGCGACGAACAACATTGCCTGAAAGACGAGCAGTGAAAAGGAAGGACCTCGTGCCTCTGTATCATGAAACATCGACCAAAACTCTGCTTCGTTGATGACTGGTAGGCATGGGTGAACCTAGAGAAAATAGTGGGAAATTAGAGTGTTTAGCAAAGGTCCTGTAGGAACATGCAGACTCCTTTGGGATTCCAGAAACGCCATCTCAGCTGGCTGTAGTTGATGAAGATTTGGTGCCTGTAGGTATCGATAATAGGAATAGAAGACAGCCGAGTCTTCCATTATGCTCTTGTCACCTGGTTCAGAACTCAGCACTACTTCTGCTGGATGCCTCCTACACCCGGGTAGTATGTTTACAGAGTGTAGGATGGAAATGGAAAGACGAACATAAGAAAGGATTTGGTACTTTCTGCACCTGCAGCGGCTCGGAATCGGCGGGAACGAAGCTGGTATGCAGATTGTTGGCGTCCAAATCAGAAACTTTATCGGGTTGACTATTGATCGTGGAGACAACAGCATGTTCTTCCTGGCTGCTATGTGAAGCGGAAAACTGATCAACATCCGCTATCGGTGAAACTTGTCTTGAAATTCTCGGACTCTTAGGTCGAGTTGTGCAATCGTGGTTATCGAGACGGCAGTTCGTACAAGGTCGTCCGTACGTCATAGCATCACATCTCACTTTGCGGCGACGACAGCTTAGGCATGCGACGCGTGCCCGGCGGTAGTGGTCCCGTCGTAGATAACGGGGACTTCCTATCGCATGTAGATCCATCTGTCGAGCTTTTGTCTTCAGGGATTATTTGCCAGGGGTGTGAGTAGATCAGGGAAAGGTATGTTGACCAGAGACCAGGGATACTCTGACAAAACCCCAGACATTCCAGTCCAGAGCTGTACCCCGCACGCTAAGGAAAGAAGAGCGGACCCTGATCGTCAAGAGCCTTTCATAATACGGGGGGAGACACATGGCTCAATGCCGAGGTCCAATCCTCTGCCATTTACTTTTTCACACCAGTCAAGTCCTCGATCACCGATCCACACGGATCGACAATTTGCGGGGCTGTGGGCACCATATTATAACTACAACATGATGACTGGCGGCTTTTCATGCTTGATTATCCGTCCCAGTGATAATACGTCCTTACCTGAGACTTTAAGCTATAAAATGGATCTTATTTTCTCAGAATTGAGGCTATAGATAGGTAACCCGGTGTCAAATTCGGGTATTATCATCCAACATGTTCCATAAGACATTCTCAGATATTACCATCAAAATAAAAATGACCTAGCTACTGTTCTGTCCATAGTAAAACTGGTTTAATCACAGTTCCATCCTTCAAGCCACCCAGGGCCTGTTGATAATCTGTAGCCTGCATAGGGGAAATAAAGTCAGCTCCGATGTGGGAAGTAATGATATATGCAACCAACATTGAAGAACTTGATCAATTTATCGATAGGAAAGCGACCTTCCCGGTACCACTTGATCATCTGTGGAATGGCCTATTCTTCCAATCAGTCACCAGAGTTCCAAAGGAAGAGTAAGACAAGTAACGCACAATTTGAGGCACACAATCTCCTTCTATACATCCCGAAATCGATCGGCCCATCTTTATGAAATGAATTAGTCGTAGATACTTTGTAAAAGGCGATAGACTGAAGCCTACATTAATCTGTTCTGTCACGTCAAAGCTAAAGCGATACCCTAGCGGTGGTACCCCAATGAGCACCATCCTGCCTCGCGTAGTTGTAGATTGGAGCCCGTGCTCCATTAGAACAGGCACCCCTGTCGTTTCGATTGCAATGGAGACTCCGTTGGGTATCAATTTCTTGACCTCTTCGTCTAGTGTGGTGAAATCTGGGCTGCTAGTATCCAAAGTATGCGACGCTCCAAGAGTTTTGGCCAGTTCAAGACGTGCTTTGACCCGATCCACAACGATGATTGCTTTGCAATTGCGTATCTTTGCGGTCTAATTAAATTAATATGTATTAGCTCTGTACGCACCTTCGACTTGACCACATTGCGAAGGAACAAGGAGAATGGGCATACCATGAGAGCCCCCATTCCCACAGCACCCAACCCTAAGATCAATACTGTATCAGCCTGTCCTGCGTTGGTTATGTTTTGAATGGCACCCATTCCTGTCTGGAATCCGCAACCTAGAGGGGAGAAAAGTTGCAGTTCGTGATCATGGTCCAGAAGGCTCTTGGCATTGACAACGCTTGCTTCGCTGATGATGCTGTACTGTGCGAAACTAGACTGGCCGAAAAACTTGGCCCACAGTTCTTCGCCACTCTCCCGTACTAACATCTGCTTTTGGTGGCCGGAATAGTTTTCTTGCGCGAAGTCCTTGCAGTACGCAGGATGCGAGTTCTTGCATTGTTGACACGATGAACAAGAAGAGAAAGACAGAAGAACTGGGTCACCAATTTTGACGGCATGAACATTTTTACCGATACTTCGTACAATGCCGGCACCTGTGATCATATTAGCAAGCCCAACTAATAAGATTATAGTGACAAAGAAAACGGCTAGAAAGTCATGTAGTTGAAGAGGGCAATGTTTTACCTTCATGTCCCGCTACCTTCGGATATGTGATACCAAATTGTCCATTGGGTACTGAAGTCAACAAAATATCAGTATGACATATTCCTGAAGCGCGCATTTCGACGAGGATCTCGTCTTCGCCTGGTGATTTAACATTCACTTCCTCTAATGCCCAATTCACGGTCAGAGGATGGATCGGCTCCCGGGCAACGATTGCTTTTCCGATGACCATTTTGTTTTCTTAATTATTTTAAATATTTTGTTAGCAAGTGGAACGCCCTCGATCTACTAATATACGTTCATATACTCAAGCTTAAGGATGCTACTAAGACAAGTACCCCGCCTACGCCGCGGCACGTCGGTAAACTGACTTAACCTTAACTTCGCGGGGGTTCCAAGGTTACGATAATGCGGGGAAGCGGTAATGATCCTAGTAGTTTTATGTAGGAATTGTGGGAATCGGAAAATGTGCAAAGAATATTATGTACCAGGTTGAATAGGTGCAAGCCGATTAGCAGGGTATCCTATCGGATACCAAGATTAAATACATGATACATGATACATAATACATACATAATTAAATGCAGGTTACCGAAAGGTCATGTGACTGCGGAGATACATGTCATAAATTAGTCAGCATGTCCAACATTGTAGACTGCATCGTACTCGCTATATTATATATTATCGTACTACAGTTATTAGTGCGAAGATGGATAGGACGAGTCTATCTTCTACTACATGTCATCCCCGGGGTTGTCTAATATATATCTTCTCCTACTGAAGATCGATCTTTCTATCGGATTTGCTTGCCCTCGGTATAAATCTCGGATTCGCTTGCCCTTTCGAGGGAGCTGCTATTATCCAAGATCTCTTGTTCTCTTACAAATACTTATCAATGGAGCCGTGGGTGTAGTGGATACGAGTGCGTTATTTCCTCATCTTTGTATAGATAATGACACTTATGCATTGGTCATGGAGAAAAGCCCGAGGGGGAAAATGTTCAACTCGGGAAGGAAGGTGATTCCGAATGGGCAACCCTCAACTCTACAAAGCAAATACGTAAATTATTCACAAGAACCAGAGGAAATAGAAATCCGGGGTAAACACCGGGGAAAATCATCAAATGACTACTAACTTGGCTAATGTAATTGATCCAAATTATTCAATTAAACTAGTTCATCCTAGTTTCCTATAATTTCTTATCCCAGTAAAAGCCAGGGAGCTAATTCAGTCTAGGCAGATAAGGGCTTTGTTCGATGAGATACTCGTACACTATCTAATGTCCTGTGGCGATATGCACTAGTCAATCTTTATTCTATCTGTAAATGGAAGGAGAGTGACAATTCTTCGATTACTTCCCCGCAAAGCCCCGGGGTTTAGGGGGAATGCCTTTCCCTATCTATGGTTCTTATATATCTACTTTGATATAATCATTCTGCTTGGAATACACACTCTTCATATTCCCACCATTCCATCACAAGAACTTTCAATATGAGATCGGAAATCATTGATATACCAACCCCCAACGAGGCTCAGCCAACGATTCAAGATGCAGAAAGCCTACACAGAGAAATAGAAAAACCTGAGTTCACTGAACAACGACAAGATGCTTTTGGGGATGAATCAAATGCAGAAATCAAGTACAAGGTTTTGAAATGGTGGTATGTGACGAAGTGTTGACAATTCCTCTCTCGTTTACTGATGAATTCAGGCAAGGAGGTCTTCTGATGGTTGCCGAAACCATTTCTCTAGGAATTCTCTCCTTGCCAGCTGCTATAGCAGGGATAGGCCTAGTTCCAGGACTTATTATCCTCGTTGGGCTTGGGCTACTCTCTACCTACACAGGTTATGTTATTGGGCAGTTCAAATGGAGATATCCTCATATCTCCAGTATGGCTGATGCTGGTGAGGTACTGATGGGTGGTTTCGGTCGAGAATTGTTTGGAACTGGTCAACTGCTCTTCTTGATCTTCCTTATGGCCAGTCATATCTTGACATTCACTGTGGCTCTCAATTCTATTACTGGTCATGGCACTTGTTCGATCGTTTTCGGTGTGGTTGGACTGATCTTATCCTTGATTCTTTCTCTTCCTCGAACCCTTGAGAAAATGTCTTGGCTTTCACTTGTCTGTGAGTTATGAAATCATCTGCCACTGATCTACAGTTCCTGAATTTTAACGATGAGCAGCCTTTATTAGTGTTTTCACCGCCGTGATGGTTACGATGATCGCCCTCGGAATACAAAATCATGGCGCCGCTGTTAAGCCAGTTGTCGAGGCCAACTTCGTGACTGGAATTATGTCGGCCTGTAACATTGCATTCTCATACGGTGAGCACGACTGGAAAAAAGGAAACCAAAACACAGCTTAACCGTCTACAGTCAGCCACAATACCTTCTTCACATTTATGGCAGAGCTCAAGGACCCAAAAGACTTTCCAAAAGCTCTCGCACTCCTACAGTCTATTGATATGACCCTTTACATTGTCGCCGCAGTTGTCATATACCGTTATACTGGCGCAGATGTTACTTCCCCTGCGCTAGGGTCAGCTGGAATATTGATTTCCAGGATAGCCTACGGCATTGCCCTTCCTACAGTATGTCTCACTCTTCGTATCTAGCATCATAGCTAACTGTTCAAGATTGTGATTGCTGGAGTCATCAACGGTCATGTTGCAGCAAAATCGCTTTACGTCCGCATCTTTGCCGGCACTGACCGGATGCACAAAACAGACTGGGTTTCCATGGGTTCCTGGGTTGGTATTGCATTTGGCCTTTGGGTTATCGCCTGGGTCATCGCTGAAGCGATTCCGGTCTTCAACGACCTCCTCAGTTTGATTGTAAGTGCTCGCTGTGCATTACCTTTGACATGAATATGTCTAACTTTTGCTTGAATCAACAGACTGCATTATTTGGTAGCTGGTTTACCTTCGGATTTACTGGCATGTTTTGGCTACACATGAACAAGGGGCTGTGGTTTTCTTCGCCTAAGAAAATCATGCTGACCTTACTCAACACCTTCGCGATTTGTGTTGGTATCACTCTGGTGAGTATCTCTCGTTCTCTCACGAATAACTATAAACACAACTAATCTTGTCATAGTGTATTCTCGGTCTCTATGCCTCCGGGTCGGCCATCCACAACAACCAAGGTAGCGCTAGCTTTTCGTGTGCTAATACTGCGTGAACAAAAGTTTGAATATATGCACGTCTTGTCTTGTAAAGCGACTACTCAATTAGTGAGAATGGACTGCAATTCTCAACAAAATTGTATACATATCTGAGTGCTATTCAGGGCTCTACCTCAATGCCTCGTATAGTCAAGTTATGATATAGATCATATTCCCTCCAAGCCCATCCTCAATCGAGAGCATCGGACTCAGGCGGACCCTTATAATCTGTCAATTGTCAGCATAATAGTTCCCCAACGCACCAACCCCAGTCCAAAAACTTACATTTCCTCGCATAAACCACATACCAAACCGCCGAAATACCCATAAACCCAACAAAAACAACCGAAGCATAATTCATCGACACAGCCGTAACCGGCAACGCAGTCGGCATACTAAACAGCACCAACTCAAACGCAATCCAAGCCAGCGCAACGACATTAACAAACCTCCCAATAATCCCACCACAATTCCACGGCGCCTTAGCAACCTCCTTACGGCCATGCCACAAGCTCAAGAAGATAGGAATAGCATACGCCGCCGCAAGCGCAATAACACCCACCGAAACAAACGCGGTAAATGCACTCGAACTCCCGAGGTTAATCAACCCCAGCAACATCTGAATCCCCGTCAACAAAACCAACGCCCAAACTGGCACACCCCAGCGCTCGTCGACGCGTGCCCACAGTTTCGCCAGCGGAATGGCGTCGTCACGGGCAACAGCCCATGTAGCGCGGGAGGCGGCAACTGTTATGCTAATCGAACAGAAGACAGTTATAACCAGGACGAGGGAGATGAGCCCGAGGCCACCGGCAGGGGAACCCATCACGCGGGCCAGGATGTAGGGGAGGGCTTGGCCTGCCGGGGCATTAATGATATCTTCCAGCGGGGGCAGGGTTGCGCAGATTGGGATGATGAAGAATAGACCTGCTGTCCCGCCTACCGGGACGGAGAGTGCTATTGCGCGGGGTACTTTCACTGCTGGGTTTGTGCATTCTTCTGCCATTGAGGTGATCATTCCTATTGCGGAGAAGGTGTATGCAGCTGGGAGGAGGCCGATGAAGAAGGTGAAGTTTCCCCAGCCTGCGAAGGATTTATCGTAGTGGGATAGGGTGTATGACGCTGAATGGCGGCCCGTGTCTGCTTTGACGGAGATGGCGATTAGGATGATTATTATCGTGAGGAGGGTCCAGGATGCACAGAGGGTGTCGACTAGGGGGAGGTGCTTATTTGCAAAGATGCAGATTGCCAACGAGGCGAGGCAGATTGCGTAGAAGATTAGGAGGAGTTGCCAGCTGGATGCCGACCAGTCTGGATGGTACATTGAGACTGTTGCCGAGATCATGGAGGCGAAGCCAAAGTTTACGGAGAGGGTTATAGTCCAGTTTCCGATTAGCCAGATCCAGGCGTTGATAAAGGAGAGGGTTGTTTTGTTGCCGCTGGAGATTTGGAAGGTCCAGTAGTAGGGGCCTGCGGAGGTTGGGTAACGCGAGGAGAGCTCGGCGAGGGAGAAGGCGATGCATTGGTCGAGGACGCAGACGAATATCCAGCCTACGAAGATTGAGAGCGGACCGCCGCCGTATATGGCGGAGAGGAGGGGTGAACCTTCGCCATAGGGGATTGCCGCTATAGCGAGGGTTTGGAAGAGGAGGGTTAGGACTGAGCGATTGCGGCGTAGTTCTTGTTTGTAGCCCAGGCGGTCTAGTTCGAGGTTCTCGATTGTCCCCTTTTCATGATCTTGGGGGGAAGGAGGTACCGGGGTGATTTCCTTCTCGAGACCCATGGTGACGGTAGTAGGTCAATAGTTATAAGGGAGGTAAGTGAATAGTTGATCCTCCAAGCTATTGGGATAATAGGGAATAGGAGGGATATACACCGATTATATGTACCCAGGTAGTGCAGGGTCAACACGTAACCCAATAATATGCGGAGTCGCAGCGAATAATAGCATGGATCCCATGTCGTATAACACGCCACCAAAGCAGATATGTAAACAATGCAGTCCGAAAGGGGAAGAGTCTCGCATTCTGCAGCGATAGATAAAGATAAAGGCGGATTTGTAGTGGAGTACCGAGGATAAAAACGTGAAACATAGGGCTAAAGGGAATTTATGGGGATATCATTGACCTGTTAGATTTCTTCATACTCTGTATACACTAGAAAGATAATCGACAATATAACAAAGTGCATAAAAGCAGACAAGATAAGAGAAACCTTGACGCAGGCCTAACCCTAAAAAGCAACTAAATCCATGCGAGGGGAAGTACTCCGCATTTGATCTGCGAGATTGGCAATCAGCTGATATGTGAGATGGGATATACCTGGATAAGACATGAAAAACAAAAATGCATTATGATTTGATAGAAAATAAAAGAAAAAGGAGGTATCAAACAGAAAAACCACAAAAAGAGAAAAAAGAGAAAACCCCTGAAATCTCGATAAACACCCAACATTACGAGCGGTAGCATATGGTACCTAGGTATATACAGAAAACCCCCTACATGGAAAGGAAGAAACAAAACCAATTACTGCGCCGTCGACGGCCGGCCCTGGGACCTGCGCGAGTGCAGACTAAGTCGGTGACCGGTGGACGGGGGACCCTCGGTAGCCAACAGGGGCGGGATACTAAATCCATATCCTTCGGTAGTAGCGCTACGATTCTGGGGATCAATCTCAACCCGGATGGCAACGTCAAGTCCACCATACATGCCACTTGTACAGGTAAACCCGTCAGCGGCGCTGTGTGTCGTTCCAGCATCGACTTCGCCCTTGTGCAGTGGTGCGTGGCCGTCCTTAGGAAGACGATCCAGTTTCGCGGAACTGGATTCAAGGACACCGGGGTTACTGGGGCTTGGGGGAAGGACCTCGGTGAGAATGGCGTAGTTGCGGGATGGCATGGTGACCTTATTCCAGGGGGCACTCTTCTCCTTGCCGCCGGGCTGCTTATCGAAAATAGGCATCAGGGTCTCGTCACAGTCGCGGTCCAGGTGGTGAATCTTGTTTCTGCGGGCGAGGAGGTTCGCGACGGCCTGGGGTGGGGGCTTATTTGTGATAGCGCTGCTGACGACGTTGACGATGAAGCGGTGGTCATTTTCGCCTGCGAGGTTGAGTTTCGGGTTCGAGTAGAAGCGGCCGATGGCAGCGAGGTGGACATCACCACCGAGGATGGTTATGCGCACGCTGTGGCTGCGGGCGAGCTCTTGGAGGCGTTGAACCAGCATCTTGCGCTCACGCTTGTGCTGGCGCGCGGTGTAGTGGTCGTCCAGGTCATCAAGAAGATCGACTTGGCCGTCGAATTCGTTGAAGAGGCCTCCCGCCACGCCAAAGCGCTTGTTCAGCAGCCGGATCGGCGCGATCAGGGGAGATGTGAGGATATTCTCTAGCCATGCAAGACGTGGGTATGCGATCGGCACACCTAGTAATACCACCAGGTGCTTGATATCGCCATTGGCGTCGACGATCTCGCGCTGCAACCGGTCGAAGATCAGATTGTAGGTGTCCTCGTAGTTGACCTGGTGGCGGGTGCGCTCGGTGCGAGCATCTAGACCCACAAAGGCAATGCGCTTGCCAAAGCGCATGTAGATACTTCGGCTACGCTCTTCCACGTACGGACCGGGCCGTTTGCCGATGATCCAGCTATCGTCCTCGACCTGGTTCTCCAGAACGTAGGTGTTCTCCACTTGACGCGGGTCAACACCGGAAGTTCCATTGACGGCGTGCATAGTCTGTGGGGCATCGGTGGTGAAAGTCGACTGAGGAGGAGCAATGTGGTGCTGGAAGAGACAGTAATACTTGAAAGCGACACCGCCGATACCGCGGAAGACAGCGCACTTCATGAAGTGATCCGTGTACGAACCGAATCCATCAATGATATCATGATCATCCCAGATATTCACCTGGGGGATGCGGCCATTGGCAGCGCGGAATGGCTCAGTGTTGTACCAACGGACATAGTTGGCATAGTAGTAGTCATCGCAATCAGCGCGCATCTTATTATCGAAGTCATGGGTGCGCCTCTTGTGCGGGTTAGAAATCGCAGTCCAAGGCTTGAGCGGGCCATCCACACGAATACCGTCGTTGTAGATCTGGTCGCCGCCACCAACCATAACGTGGAATGGCCTCTCGCCATGCACGCGCATCACATCGTTCCACAGGTTCGGTCCCACCCAGGCGTTCATGTCCGTGCCGACGGAAAAGCCATTGCACGAGTGGAACATGATGCGCATGGACTGCTCTTCCGCAGGAACGACGAATTCCCACGGTGTCTGGGCCTGGGTCTCAGACTCGTTGTACAGACCAGGGATATCGTACGCCCAGCGCGCCTCGAATGCTGCCACTGGCACGGCTAGCGAGAATCGCCAGAACGCTTTCAGCGGATCCTCGTAGAGCTTGAGACCTTCGATTGTTTGGCTTGTCGGGACCCTGCCGTCCTCGTTTTGGGTTCCGCTATCGACGGCGCCTACCTGGCGCAGGCGCAGCTGGGGCCGCTCCTGAGTTGGCTTTGTGACAATCAAGACACTGCCGTGCCAGGTGGTTGTAGCTTCGTAGTGCATGTTCTTGAGGTTGATCAGGGGACCGGAGATGAGCTCAAAGCGATCGTTCGAGCCGCGCGTGATCTGTTGTCCTGTCTCTCTATTTTGAGGCATCCCTGCGATTGTAAACATGCTTTGTTTAGTTTGCGGGGCTTTCAGATCCAGGGCTTGATTTCCTCGACATACCATTAACGGGCTCCGCACTGTAATCGGCCATAATAAAAGCAATTGGTGCGATTCAAGGATATCACCGGGGGTTGGAGGAGAAAAGTAAGAGCCGTGGACTCGAGTCGCAGTCGCACGGGTTATTAGAACAGAATTGAGCAGAAATGGGGTGGGGACGAAAGGAAAGAACTAGGCAGACTCAAATGTGATAGGGCTACAGGGCTGAAAGGAAAAACAAGAAACGAAGCGAGATTGGGAGCTGCAGATCTGTACCTTTGGGTCCGCTGCCTTGGCAATAAAGGAGGTTACAGCTCTCCGGCGAACAGCTCTGACGCTGCCAAGACTTTCCGGTGATAAGCTGACCAATGGGAGAGGAGACGATAAGCAGCCACTATCCGGTCTAGCCACGTAGCGCCACATAAGTTGTTTCGGCCTATTCCTGATTGGGTCAGAGAGGGTGGCGGTGCTTGTTAGCTTCGATCAGGGTGGGTTTCTTGGAATTTCATGCTTTTGGTGTTTTTCATGATTTTCATGTTTTGGGCACTTATGCATGTACAACACTACGATCAATGTTTCCCATACGATCTATAAGTCACAGAATAATGCACGGGCTGTTACCGATTATATATATCAGATTCCTCTCTACTGTACCACCCCGCTCAATGGGCCTCGGCCTATCACAACTTGCTATTTACTGATCTACATGTGGAAACCCTACTTACTAAACGGCAAACTATGGAGCAATTCTCTTGAAAATTAAATTATTCACTTGGAAACTTTAAATAATACCGATGAACGCGTTAGATCAAAACATCCCCACACACAAGACCCGCTCGCGCTGGAAGATAGAAATGAAATAAAGAAGAAATATAGCACTTACCAAAAACTGAATCTGCAGATTCCACCACGACCACTGACCTGAATGGTCTGGAACAATCTTAACAGGACGAGACACCTTATCCTGTTGAGGAGTCTCCTCAGACCCGTCTCGCAGCGTGAGCATACTCTGTCCATGGAACAAACCGGAAGCAACAACCTTTTTCAACTGCTTCTGGCGATACTGCTCGATATTGAGTCCCTCACGAACACCAAACCAAGCATCCCGGGAGCTAGTAGCAAGTAGATTCCGCAAATCATCCTGCAGGGGAATATAGCGGTCACGGAGCTCATCCAACTCCCGAGATAAGAGGTCAGCGAAATCCTCCACAAACTGCAAGAACTGCACAGTAACAACCATATCGAAGCCAGCCTGGAATACGCGCGTAGTTAGACCATAGTGGCGCAGGATGCCGATCTCCAGGATCTCAATCTCTTGCTCCATAGTATGGCAAATAACTGCCAGGAAACGCTCGAGGGGGATGTCAATAACGAGCTCGACCCCACCCTGGCTCCAGACCTGCCAAAGTTCCTCGTAGTTCTCAATCGGAGACTCAGACTCAACGAAGAAACCCTGCAAGCGGTCGGATCTCATGTCGAAGCCGAGCACCAACCTAGCGTTGCTAGATTCGTTCTGCGTATTGGGGACGGGAAGGCTGACGAAGACTACTGTCGGGTTTGTGCCGGATGGGATGTCGTCAAGGACTGGCTCATCGTGTAGGGTAACTTGCCTGAAGCTGGTGTTCCCTATCAGGTGGCACTCTTTCTCGCGATGGAGCTTGTCGCGGCCGCTCTCGATGTGTGAGAGGTATATATGGAAGTCGAGTACACCCCAGGGATGGCGCATATGGCGGTTCGAATGAGAGGCGAAGGATAGTTCCTTGGGTGCAGATTGAGAGTCCGTGGCTTGGGAGTTCTGGGGGGAGTTAGGGTTAGTAGAATCAGAAGGCCTCGTCCATCTACCAGGATTAACACGGGCCATCTCGTCGGAGATCTGGGAGAACTCAGGGTTCGACATGGCTATTAGCAATGTAAGTCTTAATTGTTCCTGGTTGTATCAGTGGTATCTGCTCTTCGGTCGTAGGCGTTGACGAAGGACTGGATGCGAGCCTCACGATCGTTGGGACAATCTAGAATGATGGCAGTGTTAGGCGCGAGAAACTTTTCACGGAGGAGAGAGGTAATCTGCTCGATGGAACTATGAATAGTGAAGAGTAAGCACCGGAGTAGGAGAAAGCTCTTGAGCTCCAGTCGTGCGGAGAGGATATTGGAGAAGAGTTCGGCGAAGAATTGTGTACTTTCCTGTTCGTAGATGAAGTAATAAATGATATCAAATAGGTAGAAAGCGACGGCTGCCTGAACCACCTGGATGATATAATGCCCAACTATGAAAGTAATAGATCCGAAGCAGAGGACTAATCCGAAGCACAGGAGAAACAATATCCAGTCGAGATGTGTGGAAAGCTCTTGGAGGAAGAAGTTAGTATAGGCCATAAGAATTGCTCACAATAAATGGGGCAACTTACAATGTAGAATGGTGCTTATGAGTAATGCGTTGATGGATGAAGCTGTGCGTGAGTCTAAATAGTTAATTTAACAATGCTTGTGGTTGTGTGTGCTGGTTTTCTGTGTTGAGATGGTTGTATGGAATTCTATCCTAAGTCGTGGAGCGGAGGTTCCATTTTGTATCTGGGATGAGAAGGCCCTTGACAAGTCACTATAGCGTCTCGGAAGAAAGAAATGGATAACATAAAGGCATTTAAATTATCTTTGTTTGGAGCCCTCGAAAGGAGTCTCTTTCGAGATTTGACAATAAAAGATACAAAGAGCATAAAGGCCATTCGTCGACAAAGTTCTTGTCTGAAGAGCCTTTTGTATGTTAGACAAATAATACTATATTATTAGACTCGGCATCCATCTCATAATGTTCTTGTTGCCTCTTTATGGACGAGTATCAAAGAGAGACAAAGGAGCCCTGAAAGTTACCTTCTCGTAAAACACCAATCTAACGTACAAAGACTCGATTCAATATCCTATAGGATAGGGATTGAGTAACAAAGAGTCTCCCATACCAACCAGATTGATGTCTCATCGGTTGATTATACAGATTGTGTTATAACAAAGAAAAAGATATGGATTTAGCTCTTTATCGAGAAATCAAGGGTTTCATGTAGAAATAAACCGGTCCGGGGTCGTGTAGACTCGATGAAAGACAGGACAAGGCCATTCTGGAGTCCTTGGGTTTACTCAAGGCTTGATTTTGTTATACTTGAATGTTTACAACATAAGAAGCCATGTCCCTTACTCGGTTTTGTGTCTCAGTCCATCATCTAGCAAAGCATCCCTCCACAGAGAAAGCCCAGAGTCTCTATCCAGGCGAGCCTCATAAACAACAACTAAGCCCCTCCAATTCTCACCCAATCCACCAATTTATCTCAGCAAACATGGGACAGGACAGTGTATTCATCATACGCTCTGATTATTTGCCGGGTTTGAGTTTCGACAATGAACTCTGGGTTAATGTCAGCATTGAACGCTTGGAGGATCCGGACAACGAAGAGGCTGACTGGGTCAGTGTGGTGATTCCCGAAGACATGAATGAAACCCACAGCGACGAAGAAATCATGGAGTATGCGCTTAATCGCATCCGAACCAGGCGAGCCGTCGTGAGCAAAGTGGCACTGCATAACATGGGTGTGAGTTGTATTTCGATCCCGATCCCGATGGATATTGTTGACAGCTCTGGAATCTTGATTCGCGCCGAGAAGGATTGGAAGAACTGGCTCGAGTATATTTCCAATGGGATGGCTAGTCTTAACCGGGAGGTGATTTTTGGACGTCGGTAACCGATGGGCTGTCGAGCCGTGGCACTTTGCAGAGAAAGAGAAACTGGTGATCTGGTCGAATCTGAGAATCATGCTGGGGGAGGAATATCAAATCTTTTCAGTCGAAGATGCTGAAGTGATTGTAGTTTTATTGAAGTAGCCAATACCTAGGTAACCACGTACCCCATGACCAGTTCTCAAGTATTGAATACATACGCCTATATTTCTATCCAAGTACCTAATGCCTGATGCCTGAGTAGCTGTATAAACTCTATAACTCTCAAGCACCAAGTACCAAGGACCAAGGACCCATGTGTTAACGGCAAGCATGTCTAGGAGCACACAGCACAGTCTGAACGGCACCCTAAAATCCTTGGAAATTCTAGAGAGATACTCCTATGGCATCTGCGGATACGTAATATCCTTTCCTGTTCTCTCCATTGAAGGTTCATTTCTTCTATGGCTATTCTTGTCTTGTCTTTCATATCAATATGTCAAATGTGTAGCAGTGATCACTGGAATAAACTTTTAACACCCTTGACTTCCTGCTTTCACAAATAAGTTCTTTGTTCGTGGTTATTTTTTTGGCGAGGAATGGAGTCATGACTGCTAAGTGCTTTAGTCTTGGGTCACAAAGGACATTGTAGTCATTGAGGGCTTCGTGAATGTATTTTTTTGTCTTTGAATCTCGGTGTCCTCCGTATAAAACGGGCTTCGTGGTCTCACAAGTCCTTCGATCTAAGTACTGTCATCTTAACCATATACAACAGACAACGTTCAAAGCTCACACAAATCACCGACAATATGCAGAGAAGAGCACGCCCCAACCGATCTCTCTTTCTGATAAACAGTACATGCAATTTTGCAGACGAGCCCACGGGCTTGAACTATTCCTGGGTGACTGTGGAACTTCCTCTCAGCATGAAACCCACCCACAGCGATGAAATGCTGTTAGAGTTCGCGATTCGCGAGATCCAGACCTAATACCCACATCATTCTGATTTGGATCCCGGCCCGACGAAACCTCAGTGAAAACCCCGGTCTGGCCTCCCCATCCATCAAACATTGACCGTCCATTCTTCTTCGACCGCGAATGCGACTGGCTTTCTCCCGATGGGAATTGGTTGATATACCCGCTGCCCTTGGTCTGTGGAAGCTCGAGCCCGATCCCGTCGGAGATCTGGATTGTGGTCAAGCCAGAGTGCAGACCCCTCTCGAGATATGCGGCTGCCAATGTCACTCACCTGTGACCCTCCAGTCACCGAATTGAGGCAATGCAGTCGGAACATTAATGGTCGAGTGATACCGGGACCGGCAGTCTTGTGTGAGATGTTTACGACGATCTTATAGAGCTCCAAAAAGCGATCTACTACGCACTCGTTATTACTTTCCGTGGTGGCTATGTCTCTGTTTCGTCGAAGTTGAAAGTGCATGGACAGCTTCGCAGAAGTTAAGGTTGCAATACCTATTTGACACAGGGTTGGAATACCCGGATGTCAGTGGACACCGGCATTTTACCACACCATACATTGTCGTACAGCCAGATCTCTGTCAGATATTATTATCTGCCACCGCGAGCTAGCGCCTCCTACGCTACAAGAATACGACTCTGTAACAATAAACTAGGCTTTGTAAGCTTAAAGCTCACATTTTGCCTACCTTACGTTCCTAATTATTAGCAGATAGAGGCTTTCCCACAACGAATCTATAGAGATTAATACTTCCAACGAGCCTGATCCGACTCCTAAACTTCTGAAACCTTTTGCAGAAAGTTATATTATAATGCGGATAAATCTTCCTTGTTAAAAGTCGGCTTATGTAAGGAAAGGGGATACTTAGTTAAACTAATATATTCTTGCATTTATCGTGATAAACTATTTCTGAACTACCTAGTGGTGGACTATCATGTAATCCCACCATCAAGTCGAATAAAAATCCCGGAAGATGACTTAAGGGCAAGAGGATTGATCTATCTACCATTCCCAGCCATTGTCATCTCGGTACAAGTTGATGCTCTCAATGGGGAAATACGACTTGATGGACGGATCCACTAAAACAAGATTGTGCAGGGCATAGTGGGCGTCGCTCCAAACCTTATCAAGAAAGCGGTTGGTCGCATCTTTGAAGCCGGATATGTGCCTGAAATGAACCAGCCAGCTATCTCATCATCATCGAGGATAACCAGAGAGCAAGAATCACACGTACATCTCTCCGGTAGACCATTCGTATATGATTTTAGTGGAACTGGGTACCCAGACTTGGTAGTCAAACGGCAGAAGCATCCTATTTCATGTCAGCCCTAAGTACTTTGGCAATTGTGTAGGCAACGTACTCATAAATCTGTCGGAACTTGACGCGAATGTTTTGCCGCTCCGAGAAAGTGCAATTCCAGAACCGGGTAAAATCCAAGGGCTCGCCAGGCACCTTCTTCCATATCACATATGTGACAAAGCCGCCCGGTATGCTATCTTCCTTATCCTGCTTCTCAAACTGATATCCAAGAAGCTCGGGAACAACGTTACACCCTTGCTGCTTGAAGTGCTTCAGGGCTTGGAGCTCTGGGGGCTCGAAAGGCCTGGTAGCCTGGGCAGCTCGGGCTGAAGCCTTTCGCAATTCTGTTCCAAGCCAGGGTATCTGCTGATAGATACGCAAGAACGCGAGAGGCCCTTGCGCACCGGAGGGGCGACACAAAAACTTTCCAGCAACGTATGCAGGACCCCCGCCATCAATGAAATTTTGCTCGGACTGGGTCACGGTATCCTCTCCAATCTTTTCAACTATCTCCCAGGTCTCAGGTACGAAGTTAATTGGGGGTTGGGGCGGAGAGTTCATCGTGATTTGTGTGCCTTCGAGGCCAGAGAGGACTTGACCAGAGTTAGAAGAGTTAGACATGATAGGTTGGGGATTAATGATGTTGCCAATGATGCGATTGGAGTGGACTGATAGAGAAAGAGGACCTGAAAGGAGAATGGACACGAAAGTGAGAAGTTGAGAAAGTTGCCCAGGTGAGAGAAAACAAAAAAAATCCAGAGAGAGCTCGTCAACTATGGGTAATATGCAAACCCCGGACGTAAAACATGCAAACAACCCCAACACCTGGGTATCACCTTGTCCTTTACTCTTTGTAGTATATCATAAGAAAATGAATTTCATATTTCATAGTCCTTTAGGAGATACTAGAGCAATATAATTAGATGTAGGTTGACCTTAATACCTATATAGCTAGTATAAAATCTGACCAGTCATTCCCTACGTCTTGTCAACATTGTTTCTTGCCTCCAAACTTCATTTGAGGCACGGGCTGCCACGGACTATTGGGCTTATGGAAGATTGCTCTCAAAAATTGCCAAGAAATGTGACACTGGCGGTGCAGGTGAAAAGCTGCAATAAATCGCTGATGACCTCACAATGGCAAGCCCCAAAGCTCGCGTTTCTTTGGGTGACGCTCTCGCAAAGCTACAAGAAAATGATGATGAATAGCGGCTATAAGCTGGATACTAATCTACATATATGGTTAATCTATAGTCAATTCCCTAAGATAAACTGTCTTTGTTTCCCCAAGATGATGTGTATACCTAGTGAGAGGTGTTTCCAGGTTTGCCTAGATGGAATGCTTAATAATGTTCGTGGGTTTACCAACACGCAATATAGCTCTGTTAAATGCTGGTAAGCTCCAGGACTAGGCCAAAAGATTACCAATTAGAACATTCAATTGTTGTTCAATTGTTGCTGCAGCGGTTATATATTGGGCTCTACTCGAGCTATAAACCACGAAATCCCCTCGGCTTAACTCAAACAAAGGTTAAAAGGATAGCAGAGGAGTCGGGCAAATCGACACTGACTACACATAGCACAAAGAGTAAGATATTTCTATCAAAGACCCAAAGCCATTGGAAAAATAAACAAGGCCATTGTAACAATGAAAGATCTTTATTATTTTCCCTGCAATAGTCTAGATAGGTCGTATCTCAACTGTAAATTTATAAACTCGATGTCCTCGACTCGAGTTCTATGTTACCGGCATCGCCCAGAAAAGCATCCTTCTATTATAAACAACCAAGATGCAACTTCTCCCAAAAGCAGTGAATTCCCCCCAGTCCTCTTCGCGGCCACTAACCACCAATCTGACAAGCAAGTTCCAGCCCAGCGTGTACAAGGGTACAGACGGGAAATATTTCGCGGAGCCGGCCGGCAACCGAAGCGACTACTACTGGGTCACTGTATATTTCTCTGAAGACCTCGATCATCGCGGCATCCCAGATTCAGAAATTATGCTGTATGTACAGAATATGATTGCAAAGGGCCGCTTTACTATAGACGATCAGTCAATGCATGGTTTAGGGAAAAAGTGTCTCTCGATCCCTATCAAGCGCGATCTGGATACCCCTCTGCCCAAGTCCTATACACCTGATCCTACACATCCCGATCTTCTTCTTGCTGAGGATCTTGCGGGGTATTGGAGGGACCAGATCGCGTTTAAGAAGGTTACTCTAGATCAACGGATGATTTTTGTGGATACTCGTCGTAAGGTGGCGAAGTTAGAAGATATGTTGGATGTAGGAGTTACTCTGATGGATCCCTGGCGTATTTAGATTGTTGTTTGTGGTTTATTGGGTCGAGGTCGAGTTCTGCAGGCTCGAGGACTTATTTCAATGTCAGAGCAATCAATCCAACATGATTTCTTACGTTGTTCAATTATTCCGTTTTTGAAGGTGTCCTTGTAAGAGTAGAATTTGTACAATAGGCTTGTCACTTGATAGCTGTCAGAACGAGAGAAAGAAGACGTCGAGATGCATGATAAACAAGATAGCTAGAGTATGTTCTAAATTAGAAACTCAAGAACCGAAGATATTTCGAAGAACATTACTAGCTATAAGAAGGTTCATAGTTCAACTTGAAACTATAAAAAGTGTTTTGACGGCATTGAATATGATTCTCGCTAGTCTTCTTTTTTTTAAAATTGAAAGCCATTCTCATGACCAAAAGGTAAAGTCTCGTTTGTTAGAAGTAAATTCAATGCCTGAAGAGACAAGAAAGCCAAAGAGAAGGTTTGAAAGATTAATATAGAGCATCGGACTAAACAAAGAATACAGCCAGAATATAGCCAGAATGGTATACATTCTCAAAGAACATGGAAAGATTTTGTAGCCGTGAAAGGACTTGAACATCTCATTGTTTCCACCCAATTACTAGACTAGACGGCACGTCCCTTAGCATATAAACCCTTGATGTTCTTGCTTCCACGATCACCCCGAAAAGCATTTGCTAACTCAAAACAAAAGGAGACTACCCAATAACACATCGTGTCGCTAGAAAGGAGTGCCCCATTCATCCAACTATCACAATGCCCTTTTTCCAAGCGAGTGTGTTCCAGTCTAGCCAGCTCGAGCACGGCCGCCGATTCCATTTCAAGGATCCGCACAACAGCCAACCAGGTTGGCGGTGGGGCAATGTGACTCTCCCGGATACCATGGGCATTGGAACCAGTGACCAGGAGATTATAGTGCATATATGCGACACCATCGCAGCGGGCTTGGTTACTTGGAGTGATACTGCGATGCACGGCTTGGGACAGTACTGTGTCTCGTTCCCGATCAAGTTGGAAACACCCGAGCAAGACTTAAAGCGGTTGATGCTTCAGGTTGAGTATGCTGCACTGTGGTGGGTGAGTTTCATCCGTGCGGAGACTGTTTCTATTGACAAGCACATGCTTTTCCGGGCCAGTCAGCCGCCATCGGATCCCGAAGATCAGTTGTTAGATGCACCTTTGCATTGGGATAAGCCCGAGTACACGGTTCTGAACCCGTGGTCTGCCGTTACTGTGCTGCAGTAGGCCATGGGGATTAAAATGAGGTGTGATTTAGGAAGACGGATGGGGTATTTTGTTTTTCTACAAGGATTTTGTGGTAAGTCGATATATCAGATATCTTGAATGGAACAATGAGTGAGAGAACATGGTAATCCAAGTAAATGAGTAGTATGAAAGGCTATAATTTGCCGCAGTAACGCCAGTATGATACAGTTAGAAACAATAAATAGGTTACCAGATCTCTATTGATCAGAATTTAAATCCACCTTGACTGTCTCGCCTTTCTCTCACGCTCTTTCTTTTTCTGCATGAGGGCATATCCACATCCGGCACCAGTCACGTACCCACCTAGATGGGCAGCGTGATCCATCTTGGTCAGTCGGGATAGGGGCCAAGCGCGGAATAAGAACGCGGGAGCCAGCAAGCTGAAGACCTCGGTGCCGACAAGGCAGGTAAGGAAGACCCAGCCGTAGGTCCATATCTGGTCTTGAAGGCTCTGGGGAAGGATCCACATGGTGAGTTTGTCACTAAAGAGAGGTCAGTATAGGTACCACATAGACAGCCGGGGAGATGGTAGGACAAACTTGAAGTGAGACATGCACCATGCGGCGACGATACCGCTGGTTGCGGCACTAGCTCCAAGGGAGGTCATGCCCAGGCGGCTGAGGATGACGCTGCGTGTCAATGAGAAGACAGATCCCATGATACCGGAAGCGAAGTAAATGGCCAAAAAGTTCCCGCGGCCGATTTCATCGTGAACTGTAGGGTAGAAACAAATTAGAACCTATAGAATCCGATGCTTCTACTAGCGACAATGCATACCTCTGGTACCCATTAGTCCCAGGACCATCATATTAGTTCCAAGATGTCTCCATGTCTGATGACTGAACGTGCTTCCAATCATACCCAGTGAGCTGGGATAGAAGGGCACAATCACGAAGTAACGGTTGAGCAGTTTCCATGCAGGAGGGATGTATTTCCATAGCAGAGTGACTGCTACGTTAGCTGCCACAATAGCACCCACAGTAGCCACAGCAGGAGGCACATCCGGCATGATGCGGTCCTTTCGTGCTGGGAATTCATATTTCTGAGCAAAGGTATAGCAAAGGGCAAGAACCACGATCGAAAACAGAAGTGGAGCGAGCAGACGCTGAGACTGCCAGTTCAAATATGGTTAACAACCAAACAATTCCACATACTGAAACATGCTTACATTAGTGATATCCATCGACTCAGGACTCTCGTTGGTAGCGGCAATATGATGCTTCTGGACCCAAGCGAGATACGGCCTTTCGATAGGATCCGCACGGGGACGAGCTGGAAAAAGGTCAAAACCAATGCCAATCACCCAAATTCAAACCATAGTATACATACCCTCAGTGAGCGCAGCCTCCTGGTACTGCTGTAGAGAAGTGTTGGTCCCAAACTCGCGCTTCAACCGTTCGTGTTCTTCTTTCTCGCCATCGAGCCACTCCTGCCGTTTACGTTCCTGTTCGGCCAACAAGCGCTTCTCGTTCCTCTCACGAGCCTCTTTCAGAACACTCTTGCCGTAAGGAGAGCCTTCCTCGCCAAGCTCGGCATCATAAGAACCGCTCTGCGGCTTATACAAGCCTAGCTTCTCAGCGCGGCGCACGAGCTTCTCTTCCGCCGCGCGCTCCTCACGCTCAATGCGGGCGAAGATGGCGGCATCCTCATCGATGGGATACTCATCGCGGAGCCATTCCAGAGCAATATCAACCTGCTGCTTAGTGACAGCGCGGGCAATGTCAATTGGCAGGTCCGCATCGAGCGTGCCGGTCAGACGGTGGCCGTGCAGGACGGCCAGGATACGGTTTCCCAATTTTGCGTTGAACTTGGCGGAGCCAAATATGGCTTTGATTTCGGCATCGGAAAAGGGCTTTTGTCGAGGGAGGACCTCCGAGGGATCCGATTTAGCCTTTGGCTTTGGAGATGCGGCGGATGTACGTTTGAAGCGGCGGGTGGTAGAGACCGGGTTGAATCGTTGCGGAGATATCGGGGTTGGAGTTGGTCGAGACAGGCGAGAATATAATTGGGATAGAAGGTTCGGAATTGGCAACATGGATTGGCGCGATGTGCTGTACATGCGCCATGGGGTAATGCGGAGATCGCGACTGGTAGGCCGGAATGTTACTGGCAGCACGGAGGTGCGGAGCCCTGGGCATGGAGCCCGCCATACGGCCCAGACCGCATTGCTCATATCCTGTGACTGGAGAGCGAAGGCTCGTAAAGGACCAGGGAATATGGTGGTGGGTGATTGTTCGGGGATCTTTTTGGTGGCATCAATGGACCGCACGGCTGCAGAGTTGTTCCGAGACCGCGATTGCAGGTACGAAGTAAGAAGATGGAGGCATGATAGGAATTATTTGAATATGCTTTATTTTTTCAAATATACCATCAGCTTGAACTACAGCATCAAAATTTATACCCACCCCTAATTCACACCAACACTCACCAATCTCTACGCCTCCCACTTCTCCGACATCTGATCTATAAGCCCCACGTGATGATAACACGATAACGACAATCCAAACAGCTTTGGAGATCAACCCGCATTGATGTCAACTCTATCTCCCACCTCTCACAAAATAAACCTCAAAATGTCAACTGAATCTCTTCCCATAACCCCAGGAGCCTTTGCTGAAGCAATCAAAGAGCTTCCCATGGCAGTCCTCTACAGCAAAGTCTCCGAGCTCACAAACTCCATCGCACACCTGCACCGCTCGAATGCTGAGCTCCGTGCATTCTTAACAGAAAGCAACGACTCAGAAGAAGACAAGAAGGAGCTGGAGGGGTATGTCACCGAAAACGAGGGCGTGGCCGTGTCCATGAATGAACGGATCTTGTTACTGAAGACTGAGGTCGAGAATCGGGGACAGCCTTGGATTGAGCTTGATGAGCTTAAGATCGACAGGGGACAGGAAGCTTTGACAGATGTGCCGGTGACAAACGGAAATCAGACTGAGGCTGGGACTGGAGCTGGGGTTGGGACAGAGGCCGGTGCCGGACAAGAGTCCAACGATCGGGATGATGGGGACGGGGTCTATCTGTGACCAATTCGGTGGGTCATCTACGCGCAGCCGGCTTCTTCAAGTTGGCTTGGACTGCTCAAATCTTCAAATGCATTCTCACCAGTGCGTCAGTGGCTCTCGATCACTGGTATTTGCGGGCGCTTTACTACATTTGCGTGTGGGTCGAAGATCGACCTATGTCAATTGGCTATGTTTCACAGCACGCATACTTCACGGTGCGACGTACAAGCCTAGATCATAGCGGTTAAGAGACCGTCATTCTGATGAACGACTTTCCCCCCAAGCATTAAGGACTGCTCACGTCTTCTGCGGCCCTAGGCACACTCGAGTCACCAGGTCCAGACAAAATGGAATGTATGCAGTGGATCATTTACAACCCCAAGTCTCATTATGGAATTATGATCAGATGAATGTATTGCAACGAGTAAATAAGAAAAACATGCAATGACCAGCTGATGCTGGATGAAGATATGCAAGATCACCAAGTAGAATAATTCACAGCGCATGCTAAATGCTCAATCAAAGCCCCGGCTCTGTGTCATATCATCGCAAATTCGCCCATTTTTTTAAATGGCAGAAGGAGAAAGCAGAGTACTAACAAAGTAAGACAGCGCGGCCCAACGCCAGGTTAGCGGACATGTCATGGTCGTCAATGTAAAAACAAAATGGTGCAACTCCAGACCGGTGGAGCTTAAGTGGCCGCCTGCTGGGCCCAGTGACCACCGCTGAGCGCCTCTGGGGGAACCCGCTGCTGCTTGATGAACAACTCAATCAATGGCTGCATGGGCTCCATCTCCTTCTCGGACACAAGCCCGTAGTACTTTGAAACGGTCACGAAGTGAACGAAGCACATGTTGAGGACATCGTGCTTGTTAATGTGCCAAAAGGGGTTGAGCCAATGAGCGTGGTACAGATGGGCGTAGCAGCGGAACATCTGCTTCATGATACCCTGGCAATCCTTGTAGAAGGTTGGTGGGAAGCCACTGGACTTGCCAATCCAGTCATCTGGGTTGGCGGGGTCAGAGGGGGTTGTTGATGCGCCATTGGCCTCTTTGATGGAAGATGTCTCGGGAGTGCCGTTGACTTTTTCAGTAGGGAACATAACAGGGTCATGAATCTTGCTGACGATCCATTTCTCTACCCGATTGATGAACTTCGGGGCGGAGATTTTGGCGGCGCGGCCGTCAACAAGCCAGGTATAGGTCAGCCTTTGGAATCGTTAGCTCAGTTCATAATTTACCCCGCCATACTCCACATACCGTCCAGCGGACATTGTTGGGCAAGTGTTTTCATTGCAAATAGGTAGGCCGGTCACACTGTTCACCTCCTGGATAACCTGAAGCATACCGTGGAGTAAACGGTATTGTTCAACAACTAAAGTAGAAACACATTAGCCTCCCGCTCCCAAGATAAGCTTCTACATCGCTTACTCTGGTGTGCCAGCCATTCGCCCAGTTCCACATTCTTCGGGCAAGCACAGAGGGTCAGGAAGTTGCCCCTCACATTCAGCGGGGCATACTTCTCCTGGAAGAAGTATTTTGGTCCCTCAGGGTCGTTCGCTTGAGTCTCCACGGACAGACTGCTGGAAATCGAGGGCGAATTCGACATGGTGGCTTGATGCTGGGGAGTAGAGGCCTGTGCTGGGCTTTTGGGGGGATTGTTGCTCTTGTTGTTTCCTCCCCGGCCGAATCCTTGGCGACTGTATTCAAAGATGGAGTTAGCAGGCAATTTCGTGGTGAGGTATAGCTGTTTATAAATGAAGAGGGAATATATTGAAGAAGTAAGAGTAAATGTGAATGACAGGAGGCGCCAGGGAGAATATTAGACTTTAAGGAATAGAATGCTCCTTTGTATTTGTGGCGCCGGGGGTTTCTTCGTGCAGTATGAGGGGGTAAAGGTAGAAGGCAGATTGAACAGCCGATTGCAACAAGTCCACAATGGCGCAACATCACTTACACGCTCTGGAAGAAGGTCGCCATCTTGAAATTGGTCTGCAATGCTTCAAATCAAGAAAATAACGGGGATGAGGGACAAGACGGTGAGATGCCACACGTTGAGGATCCCCTTTTGGTCTGGGCCATCGAGACACTAGTCCCGTTTGGGTCCGGAATCGGAAGATTGATAGCCCCGCGCGTCAATCGAATTATGGGAGCTCCGTCGTGAATGGCCGACAGAACAATTGTCAATACAATATTGACGATATATCGGATCGCTTACTCCCAAGATAATAACAAGGACACCATCAATCCCTTCTCCATCGTCACTCGCACATCCACACATCTACAACCTTGCAACAACAATAAATTCCATACACCATGTCCTCCGATGAGGAGGGCGTCCGACGCCCCAGCAATGGCAATGAGAGCCCTGCGCACAGCAATGCCAATGATTCTGGTGCCGACCAGATGGATGAAGGGGATGATCTCTTTGGTTCAGACGGAGAGGGCGGACTCGATGACACTGAGTATGCAAACCACACTAAAGCGACAAGAGCTAGATACTGATACATTGCTAGACCCCACCGCAACCTAGACGATGAACAACTTGACTCAGGTGACGATGAAAATCGCTATGATCGGCGCGAGGACCGAATGGATGATATGGCTGAGGAGCAGCAGGAAGTCAATGTTGCTGACCAGGATCTTGCTCGGGCGCCAGTGCCATTGACCAACGACGGAGAGGTAGGAGGAGCTTCTACGTTAGCCTTTGATGTTGATCTAACTTCTGGTGACAGGTCTACACAATGCGTGTACCCGATTTCCTTTCAATCGAAGGAGAAGAATTTAATCCCGAGACTTACGTCCCACCGCCTTACCAGACCGCTGCTACCTCCCTATGCTGGCGCAAGGATCCTGCGAATGAGTCTCTTTTGCAGTCTAACGCCCGCATGATCAAATGGGAGGATGGTTCCATTACTCTGCAACTAGCCTCCGCTCCTCTTGAGCAATACCGCATCGCATCCAAACCCCTTGTACCTCTCACCAAGTCCGGCGACTATGACCACAAGTTGGACTCCCACGTTTATCTCGCTGCTGGACTAGAAACAGCTCAAGTTTTCCGATTGACCTCACATATCACCCAAGGTCTGACTATTCTCCCAACCACCTTGGAGACGGACGATGCCGTTCAGCGACTGCAAGAACAATTGGCTGCTGCTGCTCGTGGTAGCAAGCAGACTGCAGCTGGCACTGCGCCGCGCTATGAAATAACAGAGGATCCCGAGTTGGCTGGCAGACGTGCCGAAATGATGGAGAAGGAAGCTATCAAGGCCGAGCGTCGTCGCCAGCAGCTTGCTGATCGCGAGGCCGATCGTGGTCGCCGCCATGGCGCTACCCGTACCGGCCCTACCGGTCTTAGTGTTGGCGGTCTTGAAGATGGCGGTTTGAGTACAACTCGTCCTCGTGCCAAGCCTCGCCGCCAAAACCGCCGCGGCGAGATCTACACTGACGACGAAGAGGATTACTCTCGTGGCGCCCGTAACAGAGAAGATGAGTACGACGAGGACGATGGATTCTTGGTTGGCAGTGATGAAGAGCTCGAGGAAGAAGCCGAAGATGAAGAAGAGGAGCTGGAGGATGAAGACATGGACGCTGAAGGTGAAGATGACGTGGAGGCTGCACCTGCGAAATCCGCCCGTAGCAAGCCAGAGCCTCAAGCCAGAGCTGGTACGCCCCCTGCCCGAAAGAAGAACCGCTATGTGGTGGACGACGAGGACGACGAGTGAGCTTGTAGCGTTCTCCTTCCCTCGCAGGTACCTTTTTTCTTTTCTCGCTTTCGATGCAGTTTTCTTGTTACATATCCACATGGTCCGGCGTCATCTACATGGACAGGCATTCGAGGGACAATGGGGCTCATTTCACTCTGGCTTGATGCTTGTACAACAAAAATTAATGAAATGGTCAATGAAATATCAATCCAGCTTCGTACCAGCGAAGCAATGTAGATTTATATCGTATCTGATGCCGAATGGTATGTAACAATAACTCCACATAGTCTCGGATATATTCATAGTGCAAAAACCAGACAACCGAACCCAAGATTTTAAGTATCTAAAATTTTCATGCATCGTGTGCTCACGCGTGCGCTTTGTTCGTCGCAGTGACCGGCTCAACCCCCTCGGGATATTCTGAAGGATCAAAGTTGAATCTTTTGATTACATCTCTGGCGCTTCCAACCACACGTAGGCATAAGAACTCCTTTTCACCGGAATCCTCCTGATCTTGGGAGTGAACCGAGTCCGACATGGACGTTGAATTCCACTGTCCGAGTGGATGTTGCCCAGGTTCATGCCAGCGGCGTTGCCGATTCTCGATTTCCACGATCATGGACAGCAGATCTGGTTGCTCAGAACAAGGAATCATAGCACCTGGCCCAACGGCACCACCAATGACAGCACGGCGAACAACTTCCTTAAGCCATGATCTCCAAACTTGTGCTGGGTCAGGGCTTTGAAGTACCTCAGACACGTAGTGTGGAGGCGCGGACTGCATCCCCAGTTCGACCGCGTCGACTTGCGAGACGCGCAGCCACGAGTCCGCGACGACGGTTAATAAAGTCCCTATGAACATGATATTTTGAAGGCCGGTCGAAAAGACCTTGGGACAAATTTGGCAACGGATCACGTCTCGTGCTGTTCGTGCAGCGATATAGAGCGAGCATAGAGTGTGGGAGTTGACGGGGAAGGAGGAGATTGATGTCATGTGGCTGAGAGATAAGTAGAGATATGATAAACACGGACACCCAGACGTTGTGGAGTCAGAGGAAATGGAGGTCGCAGGAGAAAGTGGGAGGGAGTGCGTGGAGGGGAAGGTTGGAGGGTTGGGGTATGGCATCGGCATGGCCGAGGCCTCGGAAATGGCCGCGAAGTCAGGCCAAGGGGAAGATGATGCGGGAACAGGAAGGTTCTGCTGTTTCAGACGGTCTGGCCTCCAGGTATGGTTGTGGTCTTCATACCCCGACAATAGGTCTGCGGACTGAGACTGTGGCAAATTCGTGTTCGTAGCAGTACCAGGCCGCCAGTATAATTGCGGACAAAGATGATCGATGTCTGAGAAATTGACTGTGTATGGACTCATCACTAGCGAAGATTGCTGCGAGTCCTCTGGACTGGGCCAAACTTCAGCTCCAGATAGCGCTGGGGGGTCGACCCCCTCATCGTCTGTTCGCGTCCTTTTCTTGGGTGGCCGACCCATCTGTTTTTGTATAGAATAGTTGCAAGAAAGTGACTGTTTGGTACATCGCGAACAACTTGGTAGTTCCCCGGAGCATTTGAGCTTCCGCTTTCCTGTCGAATAGTAGACTGGTCAGTGAGGGTTGCATTACATCGGCCTGTGAGACTTACTACACTCGTCGCATGCTGCATGTCTTTTTGGCTCCGAAAAATCATTCGTAATGGGCAAAGGAGGCCCTCCTTCATACTCAGGTGGGAGTGACATTGCTTGATAATGATTCAGAAAATCAATACTCGATCAAAAGAGCCCTTCAATAGAAAACATTCCTTTGGAACCTGGTGAAGTAAAACATTAGCTAAGTCATAGATACATAGGCGGGCCCGGGCTCGATAAGATGGGGGCGGTCATGTGGGCGGTGAGGGCCGCGAGAAATTATCCTAAAAAAAAAACTATGGATCTACCGCAACAAGACAACACCCGCTGAACGGCATCATGAACCCCAAGGCCGCTTCAAAAAAGCGCAAGGCTGTCACTCGCGATGTCGAGGAGGAAGCTGGTGTATTTTCCGGTGACGAATTGAGCAAAGCCAACCTCGATGGAGCCTTGTCGGACAACTCCAAGGATCTTTCGGACAGTGAAGACGACGATAGCGACTCGGAGGTCGAGCTAGTTGACGACTTCAGCGACTCAGAAGATGGAGAAGAGGAATTGGACAGCGACGAAATCCCCTCTGATACGGAGGAAATTAAGCCAGCTGCCGGTGAACCTAACTTCCGCATTGTGAAGGACGCCAACGGAAATGATCGCTACCTCTGGGATGAAATTCACCCAGACGACAACTCTGAAATCTCCGAGGTGGATGCAAATGCCAACACCATTGGCGACATCCCGCTGAAGTTCTACGACGAATATCCCCACATTGGTTACGACATCAATGGAAAGAAAATCATGCGTCCCGCCAAGGGCGAGGCCCTGGATGCCTTGTTGGACAGCATTGAAATCCCCAAGGGCTGGACCGGTCTGACTGACCCCAAGACCGGCAAGCCTCTGGAGCTCAGCCAGGAGGAATTAGAGTTGCTCCGCAAGGTGCAAATGAACGAGGTTCCCTCCGAGGGCTACGACCCATACGAGCCTTTGGTGGAATGGTTCAGTAGTCAAAAGGAGATCATGCCATTGAGTGCGGCTCCTGAGCCCAAGCGCCGTTTCGTGCCATCCAAGCATGAGCAGAAGCGTGTGATGAAGCTTGTGAAGGCCATCCGCGAGGGCCGCATTCTTCCTTACAAGGCACCAGAGGACAGAGAAGACAAGGAGGAGGAACTCATCAACTACGACCTGTGGGCCGACGAAGTTGAGCGACCTGACCACATCATGCATATCCCGGCGCCCAAACTCCCTCCCCCCGGTTACGAGGAGAGTTACCACCCCCCTGCTGAGTACCTGCCCGACAACAAGGAACGCAAGGAATGGGAGCAGACAGATCCCGAGGATCGCGAGAAGGATTACCTGCCCAACGACTTCGGCTCCCTGCGCAGAGTTCCTGGATACGACAACTTCGTCCAGGAGAAGTTCGAGCGTTGCTTGGATCTCTACCTTGCTCCGCGTGTGCGCCGTAGCAAGCTGAACATCGACCCCGAGAGTCTCTTGCCCAAGCTTCCCAGCCCCGAGGAGCTCAAGCCTTTCCCCACTGCCTGTGCCACAGTCTTCCGCGGACACAAGGGCCGTGTCCGCTCTGTCAACGTTGACCCCACTGGAATCTGGCTGGCCACTGGTGGTGACGACGGTACCGTCCGAGTCTGGGAACTGCTCACAGGTCGCCAACTGTGGAGCGTGAAGCTCAGCGATGACGAGGCGGTCAACACTGTCCGCTGGCGTCCGGGCAAGGATGCTGTCATCCTCGCTGCCACCGCAGGAGATGATATCTTCCTCTCCGTTCCTCCCATCGTCGACCCCGAAACCGAGAAGGCCAGTCTGGATCTCCTCGACGCAGGCTGGGGTTTCGCCGCCTCTCGACCGGCCCCCAGTGCCTCGGAGGAAGGCAAGAAGAACGCACCCCCAACCTGGATCCGTCCCTCGTCCGCTCTCGTGGATGCCGGTGTGTGTGTCGTCATTCCTCTCCGCTACGTGCCCAAGACTATTTCCTGGCACCGCCGCGGCGACTACTTCGTCACAGTGTGCTCGAGCGCCTCGACACCCGCCTCCGTCGCAATCTCCATCCACACAGTCAGCAAGCACCTGACGCAATTCCCCTTCCGACGCCGCCTCAAGGGCGGTGGTCCCCCCCAGACCGCCCACTTCCACCCGTCGAAACCCATCCTGTTCGTCGCCAACCAGCGCTCGATCCGCGCATACGATCTCTCGCGCCAGCTCCTCGTCAAGATCCTGCAGCCTGGTGCACGCTGGATCTCGTCCTTCGACATCCACCCGACCTCTTCGAGCGCGTCCGGCGGCGACAACATCATCATCGGCTCGTACGATCGTCGTCTGCTCTGGCACGATCTCGATCTCTCCCAGCGCCCCTACAAGACCCTCCGCTACCACCGCAAGGCTATCCGTGCCGTCAAGTTCCACCCCAGCGGCCGCTACCCGCTCTTCGCGGATGCCTCCGACGATGGATCCCTGCAGATCTTCCACGGCAGCGTTACTGGAGATATGCTCAGCAATGCTACCATTGTGCCGCTCAAGGTTCTCAAGGGCCACAAGATTACTGGCGAGCTGGGTGTCTTGGATATCGACTGGCACCCCCGCGAGGCGTGGGCTGTCAGTGCTGGTGCCGATGGAACTTGTCGCTTGTGGATGTAATCTTGAGATGCCGTTGCATGATGTCTGACATTTTTCTGGGCGTTTTTCTCTATTTATTTTTTTGTGCATAATCTTCCTTTTGTATAGTTATCTTACAAAAAAGTTGTTCCCTTAACATTTTTGACTTCGTATCGTATCATAGATCTTGGGATCATTGTAGCTCAGTAGTGGTCGAAAGGATGTAAAAATGAATAATCCAATGTTCGATCAAAAGGTATCTATATCCATAATCCCAAGCAAGAAAAAAATGGGAGAAAAAAAGAAAACTCTAGATCCAAATATGTATGGATGTATGTCCCAGGAGAAGTACATATACAAACTAACCCCAAACTTAGACCACACCACCACTCCAGTCCCTCCTGAGCTTCTCATACTTCCTCAGGTCCGTAACACTAGGCCGAACAAACGACTTAGCAGCAACAAAGTCAATGAACTTGATAGTATCGCGACGCTTGATAGCAGAGTAACCAGCACGACGCAACAAACTGCCCAAATCAGCACCACTGAAGCCCTCACACTCCTCGGCGAGTTTGCGCAGATCTTCACTAAACTCAATAGCCAGATTCCGGAGAAGAGTCTGCAAGATATCGACACGCTCAAGCGGCGTGGGCAAGTTCACAAAGAGAAGAGTCTCAAGACGACCAGGACGCAGCATAGCGGGATCAATAATATCGGGCCGGTTAGTAGCGGCAATGACATAAATACCCTGGCGACTACTGCCGAGACCATCAAGCTCTGTGAGGAGTGTGTTGACTACACGGGCGGAGGCCTCGGAGAGTGTATCATCACGGCGGGGCACGAGGGCATCGAGCTCATCGAAGAAGATAACACAGGGCACGGAGGAACGGGCACGGACAAAGACCTGGCGAACAGCGCGCTCAGACTCACCGACGAACTTGTTGAGCAGTTCTGGGCCCTTAACGCTGATGAAGTTTGCGCGGGACTCGTTGGCGACGGCCTTTGCGAGGAGGGTTTTACCGCAACCGGGCGGGCCCCAGAGGAGAACACCAGTAGGCGCGGTGATACCGACGTTGGCGTAGATATCGGGGTTCTTGATTGGTTCGACGATGGCAGTGACGAGCTCGTCGCGGATGCCGCCGAGGGCACCGATGTCGGCCCAGGTTGTGTCGGGGATTGTGGCGAAGCCCTCACGCTTGGAGGAGGGTTGGATTTTGGGGAGGGCTGTGAAGAAGTCTGCGTTGGAGACGAGGACGACTTCTGTTTCATCGCCGATGGGGGTCTCCTTGGCGTGACTGATAAGACGGCGCAGTTCGCGAACACGCGGACTGATATTATCATCTTCGCCTTCGATTTCCATCTCCATTTCTTCGCCGCTGTTCGACTTGAGGATCGCGAGGTACCGCTTGATGGCGGCTGAGCCGGCGGTCGAGACGAGGTCGTTCAAATCGGCGCCCACGAAGCCGGGGGTTCGTTTAGCTAGCGTCTTGAGGTCGATATCGTCTGCCAGGCGCATTTTGCGGGTGAGTGCGCGTAGGATCTGTTCTCTGACTGGCTCCGAGGGCACGGTCATGTTGATTTCCTTATCGAAACGGCCACCGCGGCGCAGAGCAGCATCGAGACTGTCTGGGCGGTTGGTTGCCGCGAGTACGATAACGGGTTTGCCGTCGGTCTTTTCAAGGGCAATCTCATCCATACAAGTCAGAAGCTGAGCGACAATACGCTTCTCCATCTCTCTCTGAGCGCTCTCGCGCTTCGGCGTAATCGCATCGATCTCGTCGATGAAAATGAGACAGGGAGCAAGACGCTTAGCCTCTTCGAAGTACTCGCGCAAAGCTTTCTCGGATTCACCCGACATTCCTGACACAACCGAAGGCGCAGAGATTGAGATGAAGGGCACACCCAGCTCCGCTGCGAAAGCGTTTGCAATCAACGTCTTACCGCAACCTGGCGGACCATGTAGCAATACTCCGCGCGGCGGCTGCACGTTTGACGATAGATAGACCTGGGGTCGGGTCATGGGTAGAATGACCAAGTCCCCAAGTTCCTGAACAACATCGTCCAGACCACCCAAATCGGCAAGACTGACATGTGTTGGTGGCGAACGATCCGCGGGCTCGGCTTTGCGTCGCTTAGACACAGATTCTCCGCCATGCGTTCTTCTTTTGGAGGCTGTGGGTGCCGGGGTGCTAGCGGCGGATTCGGCGATCTTTTTGGCTTTCGTTGTTGCCCACGAGCCGACGACGCTCTGGTTCATTCCATTGGGTTGCTGATATAGCAATTCGAATTAGAATTTCGTCCCATCCAAGCAAAAAGTATGCGCAATGCATAACGTACCGTAGCGGCAGGCTCCTCGAGTCCCTCAAAGTCCCCCTCCATGGAATCCTCATCATCTTCACCCATATCGGCTTTGACAACCTCCAATACCCGCTCGAGACTGTCCTCAATGAGTCTCTTCGGTTTGCGGTTCAAGCTCGAGTTGGATTTCTTAATTGTGTCATAAATCGCAGGGACCGATAGTCGGATGCGCCCAGTCTCGGGCTGGTCGTCAATAATCTTGCGCACGATCTGGTAGACCTAATTTGGAGGTTAGTAAAAGCCAACAAGACTTAATATTGGAATGCACACCTCACGGTCCAGACCCTGACTGAGGGTCGGCCTGCCTCCCTTCCTAGCAGCCATGATTTGATATTGGTTGTTCAGCAAAAAAAAGGCCGCGGGCCCGAAATTTCGGAGATGGGAACACTTGAAAGATCGGCTGAAAATTACACGTAATTTACGGGCCCGTTACATAACGTCATTCATGTCTAGGCCATCTATGGACGGTTTCCCCTTCTCTTCAACAACATGGGGAACTCGAGTAGTTCGCAGAAGATCTCTGCCCAGGATCGGTGAGTGCAGATTGCTATATATTGTATACATACAATATCCACGACCCATTCTCAATCCCCCTGCCAGAGCATACTATTGTTCTCCTCACGAGACCCCCTCATCCCCACCCAGCACGTCTATTCAAGGAACGCAGTAGTATGACTCCAGCTAATAAACAACCCGTGGGGTCTACAGGGCAATTCTGGACCTTAAAAACCAACGCGATAGACTGCACCAATACCAGCGACGAATAACCGTCCTAACAGACCGCGAAACGGAAATCGCCAAGGAATGTCTCGCGCGCAATGATCGGCGGCGAGCACTGCTCGCCCTCCGACGAAAAAAATATCAGGAGTCACTCCTCGAGAAGACAGACGGACAACTCGCGCAACTAGAGCAGTTAACTGGACAGGTGGAGTTTGCGCTTGTGCAGAAGGATGTGTTGTTTGGATTGCAGCAGGGAACGAAGGTGCTGCAGACGATTAATAAGGAGATGGGTGGTATTGAGGGTGTTGAGAGATTGATGGGGGAGACCGAGGAGGCGAGAGCTTATCAGGAGGTATGTCCCTCATTTTTGTCTCATTCTCTTATGCAGTACATGATTCGGGTTTGCTGACGGTTGTTACAGGAGGTGAGTCAGATGCTCGCGGGTCATTTGACGAATCAAGATGAGGATGAGGTCGAGGATGAGCTGGAGGCTCTACAGCGGGAACTTGCTGGCCCTGAAATCCTGCCTGATAATGTCGTACTGCCAAGTCCGCCTACTGCCGATCTGCCCGTTGAAGAGCCGGTGCTGGAGCCGACTCAAAGAACCAAGGCTAAGGCTGAGACTCGGACAGCTTTGCCTGCTCAGTAAAGGAGATATGTTGGGTTTCCGTTGCACAGCACCACGCATTGCATTATATTGATCCCGAGCATTTTGTGGCGTTGCGGCTTGTTTGTTTTTTATTGCCTCCATTGCTGGTAGATTTCAGTTCCATGGCGTTGGCGGTTGATTCTCTTGCTTGTTGTAAAATCCATGGTCTATAGATTATAACATCCTCAGTCCGAGGTTTTACAAATGATACTCAATATAAGAGCCCACTTGACTGGAATGGAAACCACACAACAGATCAATAAAATCCATGTAGAAATACATAGTAGTAGAATGGTATTGTCGTTAATCGTGACTGACCTGTCAATCCCAAGATACACCGAGACATGCTCACCCTAATGAACCCCATCTACTGCCCAGGCATAATCCTGCCACCAACACCACTGACACCGGGGATAGAAACATGATCCTGAGGGTTCGCCGCAGCCTCATAAAGGAAATTAATCGGCTCCCGGGTTAACTTCATAAACTGCCCCTTGAAGCCTACATACCCAACCTTAGTAACATCCTCCTCGCCATCACTCCAATTATCCTCAATAAAAAGCGTGACAGAGGTAGTTGCATTCCAATGGGCACGGTTCAACGGCAATTCGAAGACATCGGCGCCGGGTACAGGCTGCGGGACCTCGATGGTTTGAGTCGGATGCAACTCCGATGCAGTTGAGAAATCCAAATCGTCGCGGTTCTTGAACAGCTTTACTGTCTTTGGGGCGGAGTTTGTAGGAGCTGTGTATAGAAGGAGGGAGTGGAAGTTGACTTGGCCGTTGAAGCTGTATAGAAGCTCGGATTAGTTTTGGAGTTGGCGATAACAGTGAGGGGTAAGATTGGTGGGGGTTTGTTTAGATTTTTGTAACGCGTTGTGACGGGGGTGAATATCCACTGTAAATTGTAGGATAAATGTGTGGAATGAGTGAGACTCACGGGATAGTCATGAGCAGCTGTTCGTCGGCGTCGCTCTCGAGCTCGGGCTTGTCGTTTAGTCGCTCGGCCCAGGTTTTCTTGACGATGGATGCGCCAGAGTTTGGGGTTGTCTCTGTCGAAAATCAGGCCTTGTCAGAAGTAGATGCCTAGTAGTTACGGGGATCGTGCGTACCATTCAGGGTTGTGATCAGGTCGAAGTTGATCTGGGAGTAGAGAAGGGATTGGATGGCTGGAGTGATATCGTTGGTATGGTCATGATCTTCGCCATGGCAGTGGCCATCGTGATCATGATGGTGCCCTGACATTTCTGGATATGGATGTAGATTAAATAGTTGCACAAGATGTGGTCACTAAGGCAAAGATGGGTTTGGAGATCCAAATGTTTGAAGTTGAAAGATGTTTTGGAAGCTCTCCACTCCCGTGACGTCGTTTTACGCCAGAGAATTGAGGTGATACTACGGAGTCAGTTGTCGTAAGAGATCTCATTGTTTGGAGTGGTTTATTCTTTTCTTGTATTCTAACTTTACCATTGTGGTACATGCATAGGTACTCCTTACTATATGCCACTGTACAGTGGCTCATATCGCCTGTCTGTCACTTTACTGCCCTCTGTTATATATAAAACGCAACCAACATACTATATCTCAATTCCACAGCCTCCTGAAACGCCTGGGTATTATTGTACATATTCCTCCTCTTTAGCTGAATTCTAGGTGCTATTATTGCCTGACTCGGTAATAATCTGGAGCATACTCCAGCAGATAGCTCTTCTCAATCTTGGTGACATCGCGGATATATGTTTTTTCACCCGTTTGCATGATTTCATGGAATATGACCCAGTCAGCTTTTCGGTTCTATATTCAAGTCAGTAAATCAAACATGCACTTCCCACACACAATCCATGAGCACTTACAAACATCAACGAGGTGGGGTGAGCATGAAGAGTCAGACCACCGCTGACAGTCTTGAAAGTTCCATCCGGTTGCATCTTCGCCGCGTGAGCAAAATAGCCTGTGGTAAGACACCGCCGAATCTGCTCTGGCTGGTTGCTCAAATCGGCTGCTCCATGACGGGATGAAAGTGTCTCATCGACTTGAATACCAAAGCGTTCTAGGTACCGTTTTAACTGGCCTCGGATGCTCACTGCACGTAGCAGTGCCCGGTAATTCAAGAGATTGTCGCGACACCATTTCGGGTCTTTCTTCCCCTTGGTGACAAAGGCTTGATACACGTTCAGGTACGTCAAATGATCGCCCTCCTCAACGGCGAACTTTCGCCGGTGGCTCTCGGCAGATCTTTTGTCTCCAGCATGCTGAACCCACACTGTCCCCTGGAGGTTGACCATGGCTGCAATTGTGAGAATTTCACTTAAACAATTGAAAGATGGTGCGGTGAGAAGAACTTTGGCCATCATAGGATCCAGAGCAATTTCTGCCATCCGCACCCCAAGCGGTTTTGTGAGTTTGGCATAGTCATCAACTGCGCCGAGAGAGGACAGGAGCTCAAGTGCACGAATAATAAGTTCGGCCGGCGGAGGTGTCAAGAAGTCGAATCGGACAATGTTGTCAATGCCCAGTGCTTTTAGCTGCATAATCACCGGTGCAAGATTTGACCGCTGGATTTCAGGTACGGTTGCTTCCGGCATCTGCTCGAACGCTTGTTGTGTGTACAGCCGGAAACATTTACCTGGCTTTGTTCTTCCAGCGCGGCCAGCTCGCTGGGTGGCGGATGCTTTTGATATTGGCACTGCAGTCAATGTATCGATACCAGTATTGGGGTTGTATGCTCTAAGCTTGGCAAAGCCGGAATCAATGACATATACGATCCCGTCGATTGTGACGGAGGCCTCGGCAATGTTGGTCGAGACGATGACCTTTCGGGTGTTTTCTGGGGTCGGCTCGAAGACATACATTTGCTGTTCCGTGGTGAGTCCAGCGTAAAGTGGTAGTGAAAGTAGAGAGGGCGCCTTCGGATGGAGAGTTGCCGCTCTTTCGGATATCAACTGGATCGCAGTGTCGATCTCTTCCCGGCCAGTCAAAAAGAGAAGTATATCGCCTTCTGGTTCTTGGGTGTGGATATCAAAGACGGTCTTGACTGCTCGCTCTATGTAATCTTCTGCGGGAGAGTCAAGGAACAGCATGTCGACCGGATACATTCGCCCTTCCAAACTGATGATCCGACCAACACTTCCACCCAAATCCGCCGGCTCTGCAACAGGCTGGTACTCCTCGCCGGCGAAGAAACGAAGAAAGTCTTCTGCTTGGAGGGTTGCACTACTAACAATAATGCGAAGTTCAGGGCGCTTCTTGCGGATCTTCTTTAGAGTTCCAAGAAGGACATCGGTACTGAGAGATCTTTCATGTGCCTCATCAACCATGATCACGGAATACCGCGAAAGTAGAGGATCAACCAGGGCTTCTCTAAGCAGCATTCCATCTGTCAGGAATTTGATTCTTGTTGCAGGAGATGTCAAATCTTCGAATCGGATGGAGTAGCCCACCTCTTCACCGACTTTGCATCGCATCTCTTCGGCTACTCGCGTTGCAACCGTTGTAGCAGCCACCCGTCGGGGCTGGAACAGAATTAGTCGCTACTTAATTTGAAGTATGACGGGATCGGTGCTCACCTGTGTAACAGCAATGGTCTTCCCATCCTCGCACCATCCTGCCTGGTCTAGATACTGCGGAAGCTGAGTTGTTTTACCACTGCCAGTTTGGCCCACCACGATAGTGACGGGGTATTTTTCAACCAGAAAGAGCAGGTTCTTCTTGTGGCGTGCGATAGGCAGCAAAGCAGCCGGTTTGTACAAGGCTGGAATGAAAGAGGTCGAGAGCTCCTGTTCTGAAGCCATTTTAGACCAATTTCACCTTCGAACGAACTCTGCTGGATTTGAGTCCGGTTTTTAAAAGAACCCAAATTGGGTCTGGGCCATTTTGAAAATTCAAGCGCTTTGCAGATCGGTAACTTGAAGGTCGTCGGAGTTCTCGCAAAAACATCCAGGGCGATCTGTATAAAGCTCGCCCGCTATCACGTGCGCCCCACGTCACTTGGAGCTTCCCCGATATGTTCTGTCCTCAAAACATTCTCAGGCAACACAGTTTTTGTAAATTTGCCTTCAGTTACTTTCTATCCTCTGCTAGGCCCTGAAGATACTTCAAGATGTCAGAGGAGGACAAGATGGTATGTTCCCTTTCTACCCGGACATCACTTGTTATCACATGGGGCTCACGTTCATACACAGAACACTTCCAGCAAGCCTTTGGCTGCCCTTAATCCCCCTACCAGCCCCCGTGCCGAGTCGCCGACTACCGCGCGCCCGATGGACTTTGACGACGAGCCTCAGGAGAGCGGGGTTATTACTTCCTCTCCTATCGCTGCCCAGCCAGCTGCCGCCGAGGCAGCCCCGCCAAAGCCGCCCCGGCCCCTGAACCCGAGAGAACAGTCGGAGAACACTCTTAAGGAGGCATTTCCAAGCATCGAGCCTGGCGTGATCAAAGCGGTTTTGACCGCAAGCAATTGGAATGTCGAGCGGGCGTTCAATGCCCTCCTAGGTTCGTGAGGAATCTACTATTTATGAAAGGAGTATGAGCTGACCTGACCCTGGCTTGCAGGTATGACCGACCCCAAGGCTCAAGAGGAAATGACACCACCGCCAAAGCCGCCGCGCCCAACCCAACAGAGCACTGCTGCACAGCGACAACTGGAAGCCGATGAAATGTACGCACGTCAATTATCTGAGCACTACAATGCGACAGGACGTCGCGCACCGCCTCCAGGCTGGGAGAGCGACCCCCGATACCAGCGGCCTAGAGGAAGCGAGGAGTCGGATGAGAGAGAGAGAGAATACAGCTTCTTTGATGGTATGGGCCTTGGTGGCTTGTTGAATAAGCTCGTGCTAATTGGGTATCTATAGATGATCTACCCGTGATCCGCGAGAACCTCCGCAAGGGCTTCCTGGAGACACAGAGTAAGGTTAACTCGTGGGTAACAAACCTGAAGAAGAGAATTGATGGAGATGATTTGGACGAGGAACCCACCCAGAATCAAAGAGAGACTCCCACCCTTGCCCGGCCCCGGCGTAGTGGTGATATGGGCCGTCGCAGTGGAGATCGTGAGCGCTATGACGCAGATCCGCAAGTTTTCAGCGATGATTTCTCTGCTCTCGAGTTGAGAGATGGTGAAGGTAAATAACGACCTAAATTCTAGCATCGTCGGGTTTTACTAACTATGCACAGCCCCCCCGGCTCGCCCCCCTCGCCCGGGCCAATCCAGCTTTAAACCCTCTGTGTCTCCTTCGCCAGACAGGCGCAGGGTCTCTTTCCAGGATGGACCACCCACCGAGATTGACAACATTTACGATGCCTCCACGCCATCCAAGCGTCTCAGCTCAACGGGCAGCAAGACTAGCAAATGGCAGCCATTGTCCGCCGTCGAGCCATCCCCCGTCGCGGAGAACGACCCATTCAGCCTCGGCGATAGCGATGATGAGAAGGAAATTAAGGAGACTAAGACTAAGGAGCAAACCACTGGGTCGCAGGGTGATCAACCCAAGCACGCTACTGTCGAGTCAGTGTCCGACGAAGTGGGTTCCTCTAAGGACCAGGAGACCAAGGGCGCGAGCAAGCCCGACGAGTCAAAATAATTGCGAATGATTGGAATTTGAATATCCCCATATCCCCATTGTCATCTGCGCGAATCACTTCTTGCCTTTCCTCCCTTTGCTCCCTTTCCTCCCAGCCCATCATATCTATTTCCCCTATCGTTCTACTCCGCCAACTCACCCTGTTATGCGCTACCCACTCCGAGTTTACGATACCTAGTAGAGGTAGCCCAAGACGTTTTCCAAGCTTTCCAATGTCTCCATGAACCCAAGCCAAATTGAATCTGTATTTGTACCGGAAACAAGCAACAAAACAAAAGGGTATATCTCCGACCGGCCCGCACAGTAGTAAATACACGGCCTCAACGCCAAAACCAGAACAAACCAATAGACCTCGTTCAATGCAACGATAGGCAACAAGTAACCGACAGGTAACTCAAAGTTTCTTCAAACCCACGCGGACTCCCTGACGCGATTACTCCACGGCGGGGGCATTGCCCACGCGCTTTGAAGAACCAGTCTCCTTACGCAGATCCTTGATGACAGTCTGTAAAGCAGAAATCAAATCAGCTACTAGGCACATTTAACACTAGATGACGCGTGTAGGGTGCTGTGCTGTATTGTTGAGATATGATCCCAATCTCGGGAAACGCGTACCGCCAAAGCATCGGGGTTGACCCCATTTTCAATGAGAGACACACAAAGCGACAGCTCTGTCCGGTCTAGGTTGGTATTCTATTCGTCATGTTAGTTTTTAGAGCTATAGATTTATTTTCCTGTAAAGAAGAGGGGATGATGACATGAACTAGGAGTCCTGAATCCTGTCTAGTTCTGATGGAGGTGAGCACGCACCAGCAGGTCGGAGATCTCCTGAAGAATATCGATAACTTCTCTGGCGGCTTGGCGCTTGTCATCAGCCTGGTCTTGGGATTTTGGGGGCATTGTTGATTTTGTTATTGAGAGTGGGATGATGTAGTGTTGAAGTGGTTGAAGTGGTTGAAGTTGGGTCGGTGAACTTTTCTGCGGATCAAGGCAATCATCTACATTCGTAAGTATATATTGGAGTACTCCGTGCATTAACATGATATTTCGATATTTTTGATGATTTGATATTTTTGAGGGCATCTTTTCTGTTGACGTCACTTTACTTGTAAAGGAATCTGCTACTTTAATAATTGTTCTTCTTATTAACGTATTCGGTGCGAGCTGCGCCCCCCACCCAAAACGCGTCCAGGAATTAGATCTTACTTAGTTTAACCACCCACTATGCCACTAATTCGTACTCAATCTTCTCAAAATTTAATTGAAAGAGAGTGTAGGATCTTATCAGCTATCTAGGCTATTAAGAAGTAAGGTACCAGCGCTATTTGTGAAGCAGCGCGCCGTTTTAATATACCCGAATCAACCCTCCGGACGCGCCTTCGTAGGACTACCTTTCGGGCTAAGACCTATGTTAATTGCTCTAAATTGACTGAAATTGAAGAGGAATCTCTTAAAAAAATGGATTCTCTTTATAGATTCTTATAGATCAGCCCCCTAGCCCTCTATAGTATAAGAAATAGATATATAATTTTGTTAAAAAGCGTCCTCTCCTCTCCTAATTCTTAAAACGATATAATTATAAGCGTATAAAATATAAAGACCCTAAGATTATAAAGGGGTAGTTTAATCTAGGATTAATTATATTAATAAACTTAATTTCCTTCAAGTATACCCCTTTATATAAATTAAAGCTTTTAAACCGGAGACTATTAAAAATAGCTTCTTAGCTACTAGTTCAATACCTTTTGTACCTAACTAAGTACTTTTAAAGCTTAATATCCGGCTTTAAATACCTACGCCCCCCCCCTTAGCTAAGGTAGTAATTAGGATCCTAAAACCCCTTCTAACTATATCTAGTTATAAAAATAAGCTTTATTAATTAAAGTATTACTTCATATAAGATTAAGGAGCCCTCTAAGTCCTTTTAATTCCGCTATAAACTAGATTTTAAAGGCATACTAGCTTACTATACAATCTACCGCATTTCTCGAGAAAGAAGTGAGCAATTTATACGCCGCTAATAAGAAACAGAAGCAAAAATAAGGCAAATCCTAGAAGCAGATACAGGCTAAAGAAGGCCTCTCAGTTCAAGAAGCTTCTCAATCAATTACTAAGCTAGTAGAAGCAGCTAAAGCACCTCCCTCCTCTCTACAAAGAAGCCTTTCGCCGGCTTTACAACCACATACGCGGGCCCCCCTAAAGTATAGTAGTTATAGAGAAATAGGACATAAGATTAATATATACAAAATACCTAGCTAAATAGATGATTTTACTATATTTAATTTGATAGGGTTTTGGTTGACACATTTACATTTGAAATTAATATACTAGTTAGGGTGCGCAGCTCGCTTACCGAATACGTTACTGGTGGATACTCTGAAATAAATATAGTACTTATCTTCTACAAAATACTCCGAACCAATATAAAATGGAAAAAAATCATAAAATACTGGAGAATTGAGCTATTTGTGAAAATATACTGCATAAACTAGTTGATTTAGGTAGGATGTCATGGGGCATGCATCTATGTACGGCCTATGTTGTGTGAAGAGTCCACTGTACCCTATATTTGCATACTTCTTCTTCTATTACTCTTGGTCTTTATTATACAATAGCTGTAATTTCTGAGTACTTCTCAAGTCCAGAAGTTATCATGCAAATCATGATATAGGGCGTTGCATGTAATTGTAATAAATATAATGTTAATTGTATAAACTGCTACCTTGTTGATCCTCAAGGAATTGCAACAAAATCTGCTGACTCTCAATCCTTCTGGGTGAGTGGATTTTCATGTGATGGGAGAAATTGACCCATAAACGGCCATCTTTACCAGTTATATTCGATGATCCTCGCATGCCGGATATTTCCATTTCGCCCCCGACCCTAATCGATAACCGTCTCCACCCGAACGGGACAATGTGCAATCTATGCCGAAATATCCTATCTAAATGAAGAAAGTGGGACTAGAGAATTAGTGACATGAGGGCAAGATATCCACAACTAAATACCCCTTTTAGGATGCTGCCCTGATACTCTCATATGATCTCATCCAATTTTGTAGGTCAAAATGCACAGATGACCAATGCTCCTCTGCTAGAATTTTGCCTGGTAGTCTGCAGGGATACTCGCTCTAGTTCTGTTCGATGATCATAGAGCACCTCCTGGAGTGTTCTTTTCTACATATCAAGGCGCTGGTGCAATGAGTAAACCGCAAATATGAACATGACATCTATTTTCGGGCCCCCACCGGCGGGGATGGATCTCGCAGAAAGCAGAACTTCCGAAGACACTGCTGTTGCCGTGACTATGTGTGTGCTTGCAGTATGCACTATTGCCCTTCGTCTCGTTGTGAGGGGATATATCCAGGAAGCGAGGCTGGAGGCTGATGACTGGCTGATTGGAGCATCTGGGATCCCATTGATTGCATTGCTTGCATTATCTATTCTTGGTACGCTTAGAATCCGATCTGAATTATGTAGAAAACAAGACATTAACATTATATCCTCGGATCAGGTGGCACCTACGGCTTCGGTTTGCATGTCTGGTGGATAACAGTGGAGAATATGGTCATAATGAAAAAGGTACGAACAAAAGGGTTCAATACCCCAGAGCCCAATCTAATTAGATATAGTAGATCCTTTTTGCCTACCTCATTGTTTATCTATTCGAGCTCCTTCTCATCAAAGTCTCAATCCTCATGTTCTACCGCCGAATTTTCGGCATGAACTGGATGATCTGGGCCACCCTTCTCATCTCCTATGGCTGGTGCATAGCAAGCATGATCGCAGCCATATGCTCCTGTGAGCCGATTTCATATTTCTGGAACGAAATCATCGACCCTACGGCTGGTTCATACCGGTATAACTTTTACTACTACTATGTTGGGAACGCGGCTGCCAACGTCGTGACGGACGTTCTTATTCTGCTTGTCCCAATACCTGTTATTTGGAATCTCCAAATGCGGACAACACAGAAGATTGGCGTGTGCGGTGTGCTTCTTCTAGGTGGATTGTATGTCCTCCAAACAAACCTCTTCCAAAAAGTCAATACTAACACAACTTTGTCTCAGTGTCTGCGTCGCAAGCGGTATTCGCATCCATTACATCACCTACCTCCGCAACAACATAGATATCACATGGGCCTTAGGCAATGTAGCCGTGTGGTCAATCATCGAGCCGTGCATCGGAATCATTTGCGCCTGTCTCCCTGTCCTACAGCCATTCATCCGCTCACTGGCCAAGAAAGTGCCAAGCTTACCCACTCAGCATATTGGGACGTCTCGAATGCCCAGTGTTATACACAGAATATCTCTCCACAAACTTCAGAGAAGCAAGTCCGATATAAAATCGAGAACATGTCCTACGCACTTCGGCGACTCAGAAGAAGATCTGGATCCTCTTACCTCGATGAGGACTCGAGTGGAGATAGAAACAGATCCAAAAGAGATGTTTGGTGGGGAGCGGAATCTTGATCCTACGGCCATTCGTGTTAAACGAGTGGTGCACTGGAGTGTTGATTAGACTGATCTGGTTAATCCTAGAGCCAGTGATTATTTTCTTTATTTTTTCAGTAATCTGTGGAAGTTAATGAATATATGTACATACACTTACACCTTTGTGGGAGCGTTTTGTTTGCGGGCCTTTGGTGGTGTAGATACCACATGCAGGTAGGGGATGCTAAAAAAATGCATTCTATTTTTAATTCCCTAAGTGAAAAAGTCGTAGATAATACTCATTTCATAAAAGAAAACGTGGAATAAAGGTAAATACAATATAATTGAGTTTAGATAGGAGGGGAAAAAATATAAATGCGACATCAGCGCGAGGCGAACGGCCATTCGTCCTAAAATTTTACAGCAAAATATGTTCAGATGAAAGAAGAACTCTTTGTAAAAAGAATGCAAGCTGTAAACATCGTTCTTCAACTCTTCTCGCATTTCCTGCGAGCATCACCACCTGCAGCCCTATCAGGGTGAAGTCCATCACCATGCCTTGGAAACCAAGAAAATCTAGCAAAAAGCCGACATTCGTCCTCATAAGACCGAAAGAGCCATCGGCCTGGCAAAAATTCCGAGATGAACCTTGTCTCTTCCTCGCCCGCAAGCTCTATGCCTGGCGACCGACCAACCTCCCCCAACCGCCTGAGAACCCGGTCACTGTAGTCTGTATCTCAAACGCCTGCCATGAGCGACCAAAGATACCGCCAGGTGACATTCTGATCCACGCAGGCGATTTGGCAGCAGAGGGATCGTTCGCCGACCTCCAAGACACGCTGGACTGGCTAAAAGCCCAGCCTCACCACATTAAGATTGCAGTGGCCGGTCGAGGTGACAAATACCTTGACAAAATGAAGAGGGGAAGTCGTCGCTGGAGAAATGGACACCGCCAGAGGGCCAACTGGGGCGATATCATCTATCTGGAGCACCAGCATGTCATCGTGACTACTCAGAACGGACGCCAACTGCGGGTCTGTGGAAGTCCATACTCACCGAAGACCATTCCTCTCGCGGGCTTTCAGTACCATCGCTCTGATAATTACTGGGCCGAAATCCCCGCCAATCTCGACATTCTCATCACTCACACACCACCATACACGCATCTTGACTCTCGCAGAGGCTGCCGACATTTGTTGAATAAGATATGGACATATCCTCCTCGACTGCATGTTTTTGGTTGCGCTCGTGAGCGTCATGGAACTGAACTTTTGTACTATGATGCTCTTCAGAGCGCGATGGAGCGCATTGAGGCTGCGGGTGGGGGTTTCTTCAATCTTCTGAAGGTATTCAACGGGTTCGTGAAGTCCTTCTTCCACCCCGATATCAAAGCCAAGACAGTGCTGGTGAATGCATGCACTAACGGGGGATTGTGGGACCCCGAACGCCCACCGATCACGGTTGTCGTGTAATTTGAACTGGGGAGGAGTCAATTATGTGGCAAGGTGCTTTGTGAGGATGAAACATGACTCGACAGGATTCGATGTGACTCAACAAGTGATTTACCAATGAAAACAAAGTCAGCTCCAAGTTGTACTTGCATAGACGCGTAACTAACTAAATGAAATTGAGACATGGACAACTAATTGTTTATAGATCAAGGCAACTCTCATTGGTTGAATCTCACCCGGTGGGGACCATAACACATCAAGTTTTCACTACATTTGAACCAACTTCGTACTTACACGGCATAAACCGACAAAGTTACAGTGTCAAATATCTGGACCAGGCGTGTGTTAAAACTAGTCAGCCGTGATCTGCAATGGCGCCTCAATGCGAAATGGGAGGAATGGGTGGAATGCCCGACCTCACCATCTCGGACATTCATGCCTTGAAGAGGAACGAGGCGCTGGAAATTCTTTCCCAGATTTCACGCGTCGAGAAAAAGACCTTCCCCACCAATGAGGCATTCCCATTCGGCGAAGACCTGTGGAGAAAAAAGCCCAACACGCGAGTTCTATACGCGATTCGAGCCAAGGGATCGCAATCCGATCTGATTGCCTATGCGGTCTATGTCCGACAGAAGGGCGTTGCGCTTTTGCACAAAGTGTGTGTGACAGAGCCTAATCGCCGTCAAGGTGTTGGCCAGGAGGTACTGTCCTACATTCAGCAGCGCCTACGAAAGGAGGGCTGCCAGTATATTCAACTCTGGGTGGACCAGGCCAGGGAGCCTGCACGCGCCTTGTATCTCCGTATTGGATTCGAGGAGCGTGAAGTCATCCCTGATTACTATGCCCCTGGACGAACAGGCATCAAAATGGTCCTAGATTTAGAAGCGTGATGGTTGAGCCACTGCCGTCAATGGCACCCTTCGGACCTTTTTTTTCTCTCTCCCACTAAAAATGTTCCTTGCCTTATCGGTCCCTTTCAAATAGGTCCGAGGGGTAATAAGCCACGGTATTTGGGCGCGTCTATGCTCCTTGGCTGCCGCAGGAGCCACCTATGGCTCCCCCTTGCATGAACACGGCATCTTCGAAACGTGAGATTATAGCGATCGGGCCTGCGTCCATTCTCCGCTGTCATTCTGCTACATACTTCCGAGGCACATATCTAGGTATGGCTTTTTTGAAAGGGCACGCCTTGAATGTCTCCCTGGTCCCTTTGGTGCGAGAGGGACCACGATCCTTTTCTGGAAGATCATGCATGATACTCTTTCATCTTCGTCTTGAATCGCTTTCTTTCCATCTTGACTACCTTCACTATCTTTCGCCGCGAGATTGGAAGCACCGTTGGTGATCGGTGAGCTAGCTGTGTCTTCACCAGCTATATACAGTTCCAGTGTGCTCGCATTCTCTCAATCGACCATGGCGTTCTTTCTCACCATAGTGCTGGCTTTCCTGTCAGTCACCGGTGCAGCATCCTTGTCTGCAAATTATCCCATCAACTCGCAATTGCCACCTGTTGCCCGAGTTTCACAGCCTTTCCGATTTGAATTCGCCCAAAGTACTTTCTCCAACAGTAACGCGGACACCAAATACTCGCTATTAAATGCACCATCATGGCTCGAAGTAGACAGCAGCAGTCTTACCCTGTCTGGAACACCACACGAAGGCGATAGTGGCACCATTGTGTTTAAGCTTGTGGCATCGAATGGATCGGAAAAAGACAGCATGGACGTTACTTTGATAGTCACAGCGGACCAGGGACCGACGGTGAACAAACCACTTGTACCTCAACTGCAGAAATTGGGACCGGTCTCATACCCTTCCACGCTGTTTATGCACCCAGGTCGTCCATTCTCGATTGAGTTCGATCAGGATACCTTCGAAAACACGCATCCCTCTACGATCTACTACGGAACCTCGCCGAATAACGCCCCACTGCCTTCCTGGATCAACTTCGACCCGGCAGCCTTGAAATTTGCTGGAAATAGCCCTGCGTTTCCAGGCGCGGGGCCTCAAACGTTTACTTTCCAGCTGATCGCATCCGATGTAGCTGGGTACAGTGCGGCAAACGTGACTTTTGAACTCGCGATCGGTCCTCATATTCTGACATTCAATGAGACTGTCCAAGACTTCAACCTTACGAGAGGAGAAGAGTTCAACAGCCCCAAATTCACTAGTCTTCTGTCTATGGACGGTTCGCCAACTTCTGCCAAGGAGCTGGCAAATGTCGATGCTAAACTGCCGAACTGGCTGAAACTAGATAAGGAGAATATATCGCTGAGCGGGACACCACCCAGAAATGCCGTGAACCAGAATATCACTATTGCCGTTACAGACACCTTCCAGGATCAAGCGCACTTGATGGTTCGCCTGGAGTTCTTGAAGCTGTTCCTCGACACTGTCGACGGATGTGAGGCAGCTATTGGCCAAGACTTCAAGTTTGTATTCAACCAGTCTATCGTCACTGATGACTCTGTACGGTTGGAGGTCGATTTGGACACCGAGCTCACGTGGCTTACCTACTTCTCGGATAACAAGACTCTTTACGGACACGTTCCAGATGATATGGATCCCAAGAAGTTCACTATCCCTCTTACTGCCTATCAAGGATCGACCGAAGACACCATGGACTTCGTTCTCGATGTCCTCAAAGCCTCAGAAACACATTCGAACCCCACAGATCCGTTCACCTCTCCAGACAGCCCCAACCACAAGAGGGCTGGCATTATCGCCATCTCAGTCGTGATCCCATTTGTGGTAATTTTGAGTCTACTGATTGTCTTCTGCTGCTGGCGTAGCCGCAAGAACTCACCCACAATCGAAGAGGGTCCATCCGACAGCAAGCTTGCTCCACCACGACCTGTTAGGCCAGATGTTCCTAATTGCCAGCCATCGATGACAGAAAGGCCTTCCCGCGATGACAATTCCGAAGATTGGATGAGCCCTATCTCACCATCGTCGATTCCTAAGCTTGAACTTGGGCCCGCGTGGAACGTGTCATCGTTTGATAAGCGAGAGCACCCAGTCAACTTTACTATGCCTGATCCCATTGTTCCCCCTCGCTCTCCTGCTCGCAACTCGCCCACTCGCCGGGGCTTTGTTCCAATGCGAGACCCCGTCATCCAAGAGGAAAGCCCCGTTCAAACCGTCTCACCTTCCAAGAAGCAAAACAATCGCCTTTCATACACGACCAGCCCCATGCGTCGTAGGACCACCAACCGGTCCCGGCGAGAGCCATTGAAGCCGATCCAGCCGCGAGCCATGAAGCGAGAATCCATCCAATCATCCAAGTCTAGGAGATACTCGAAGCGCTCGAGCGGTATCTCCTCCATTGCCTCTGGACTGCCAGTACGATTCAGCGGAGCTGGCCATGGTGCCGGCGGCTTCGGGCCTCCTGGACACGGGGTGGTGCACACATCATGGCAAAACGCGCGAGCCTCAATGATGAGCGATGAGACCGTCCTAACACACATGGCACCATTGTTCTCGCGTCCGCCAGCAGCAGGACGCATGCGTCACAGCATCGCATCTAGCATCCCCGAAAACTACAAACGCATGACCCTACGCACCGTCGAGCCCGATGACTCCATCCTCTCCGAAGGTGACTCGCTGGAAGCCTTTGTGCACAGCCGAGCCAAGCACCGCAACTCCTCCAACCCTCTCTTCTCTGCCCAAATCAGCCGGCGCACTTCCTCAGGCATGCGCGCTCTCGATCGAAACCGCAGCCGCGCCGACACCGTCTCCGTATCAACCTTCAGCGACGAATTCCGCCAATCAATTCAAGAACGGCCCTTATCGGTTGCAATCTCGGCTTCGGAATACGGCGATGACAACAATCCCAACCGCTTCTCCCAATATCAGAATCAGGCCGGTCTGTTTCCCCTTGCTGAGGGTAGCGTATATGGCCAAAGCCAGTTGAGTCTTGCACAAGACTATCGCGGTGCTATTTCCCCTCTGCCGCGGTTCTGGAGCGAGAATAGTATGGGCAGTGCTCGGCAGTTGGAGGGCCAGAGCAATTCTCAGCCTCAGAAAGTGAATGATGAAAATGCTATGCCGCACAGCTCGTCTATGGTCTCCGATCTCGATGAGCATTTGTCACGCAAGGTCAGCCCTAATAAGAGCGCCAATCATCAGTGGTGGTTGTCGTCTCCTCTTGAGCCCCCGCGGCCGTTGAAGAATGCCGATAATCGGGGTCTTCCTATAGCCAGTAGTGGAGAGCTGGCATTTGTTTGATCTTTGGGTCCTTCCTCTCTTCTTCCCGTCTTATCTCTGATATCTGTATCTTTTCTCACTTTTGTCTTTTTGTCTTTGCTCTATTGTGTTTCTGGCGTTCTCAGGCATTGCGAGCATGATATCCATTGGCTTTTCTATGGTTGATTGGTTGGTATTTTGGTCAAGTCGTTTATACTAGTTGATCTAGTTTTGGAGCAAATAGTTAATAACATCCCTAGTTAGATCTGGATTGTTTGGGTGTATCGTAGTCCATAGCGACCACTCTCCGCCTTCTTCATAGTAATTTGTAACATTTTTAACATTGTAGTCCATGGGTAAGAAGATCAAAGAGACAGGCAGTCATAGAAATAATTCCATACAAAGATAATAATGTAGATTTTTTCAAGTTTCCAACTCGGACATCTTGAATAACTATGGCGTGACTGTACAGTGACTACTGTGCCTACATAGCCCCTATTTACTTTGCCTTTAGCCTCAACGAGATCCAAGGCACACAATAATATATTGAAATACTAAATATACTGTGTAATACAGACTTCTTTACAAGAAATACTCTCTCAAATTCCAAACTTCTTCCCAAAACTCCCAGTAAACCAGTCTGATCACCCCTCACGTGACTCTATAGAGTACAGCGTAACAAAAGCGGTAAACGCAATACCAGGAAATCTCTGCGAGGTGTTCTCAGGACTCGGACTTTCTCTCTTAAGCTTCCTTGAAATTGTCTCTCCAATCTTCATCGCTTTACAAAATCCCTACTATCTTCTAAAACAACCAAGTACAGAGGCAAGAAATCCATCGTCATCCGTCGTTCCCCACTTATCGCGGGACCCAGACGCGCTGAAAGCCCTGCGCCCTCATCTGACCCTTTCCCTACAGCACCTCCAGCACCTCCAGCATTTTCCACACTTCGATCCGAAACCTCGATCTCACTACCTCCCCCGAATTATTCAATCTTTGCCAATATGGGTCAAACCCTATCGGAACCGGTGGTCGAAAAGGTGAGTCGATATTTCGCTTTTTGATTCACACCCCACACTGGCCCATTGTGACCCTCCAATGTCTTTTCTATGGCTTCTAAACACACCCCCCTTTCTTGGCTCTTGTCATACCCCAGAATCAGGGGGTTATGGACCGAGTCCCTCTCATGTCTTCCCGTTGAACAGATTGCCCGTGCTGTCGCTCGGTGGAATCTTCCTTGGGTTGCCATGCGGGGTCTTGGGTAGTCCAGCTGAGTAGTGGGGGTGATTCAACCAGCAACGAACTGGCATCGCAATCCTACCAGGCAGCTTTGCACATGTTATGGAAAAGCATCGAGTGTAACTAACGTGTTATTTTGCGCTTACAGACATCGTCCGAGGGCGGGGATGACTGCTGTGTGTACGGTGTGTCGGCCATGCAGGGCTGGCGAATCAGCATGGAGGACGCCCACGCTACAATCCTTGACCTCCAGGCAAAGTACACCGGCAACAACGAGAAACCGACGGATCCGGAACACCGCCTTGCCTTCTTTGGTGTGTACGATGGTCACGGTGGAGACAAGGTGGCATTATTCACCGGCGAGAACCTGCACAAGATCGTCTCCCGGCAGGAGGCTTTCGCCAAGGGTGATATTGAACAGGCCATGAAGGATGGTTTCCTTGCGACCGATAGGGCTATTTTAGAAGGTTTGTGCTATGATGTTGTAACCGAGGTACCGCATGCTGGATTGCTGACTTGAGCCCAGACCCCCGTTATGAGGAGGAGGTGTCTGGCTGTACTGCTTCCACGGCCATTATCTCACAGAAGAAGATCTGGGTCGTACGTTATGACCTTGAAAGAAAGTCCATATCGGATTAAAGAAGTTCAAACTGACTGGTCATAGGCCAACGCTGGTGATTCACGATCCGTCTTGGGTGTCAAGGGACGTGCCAAACCCCTCTCATTTGACCACAAGCCTCAGAACGAGGGTAAGTACATGGAATCATACAGGTCGCTACATGAAACATGATCGGGGTCTGACAAATGATTACAACAGGCGAGAAGGCCCGTATTACCGCCGCTGGCGGCTTTGTCGACTTCGGTCGTGTCAATGGCAACCTTGCCCTGTCCCGTGCTATCGGTGACTTTGAATTCAAGAAGAGCCCTGAGCTCTCTCCCGAACAGCAGATCGTCACCGCATACCCCGATGTGACCGTTCACGAGCTGACGGAAGATGATGAGTTCCTGGTCATTGCCTGTGATGGTATGTCTTCTATTATTGGTCCCTCCCGTCAGTTTCCATACTAACTAATCTGCAGGTATCTGGGATTGCCAGTCTTCCCAGGCTGTGGTTGAGTTTGTCCGCAGAGGTATTGCTGCGAAGCAGCCCCTCGCCCAGATCTCCGAGAACATGATGGACAACTGCCTTGCCTCCAACAGTGAAACCGGCGGTGTTGGATGTGACAACATGACCATGACCGTCATTGGACTCCTGCAAGGCAAGACCAAGGAGGAGTGGTATAACCAGGTTGCAGAGCGGGTTGCGAACGGGGATGGACCTTGTGCTCCGCCCGAGTACGGCAAGTCTCCCGAGGAACCCGAAAGCATCCCCACTTCTTCGTGCTGACGGCCAGTTCGTGCAGCCGAGTTCCGCGGCCCCGGGATCCGGAACCAGTTCGAGGACACCCCGGATGAATATGACCTGGAGATGGAGCGTTCCCGTGGTTTCAGTGTCCGTTCGGGCCGCATCATCCTCCTGGGTGATGGCACTGAGGTCATCACGGATCAAAACGATGAGGAGCTTTTTGACCAGACCGAGGAGGATGAGGACCTTACCAACCAGGTGCAGCACGAGTCAGGCACCCGGAACGACCGCCAGGCCACTCCGGGTCCTCAGGGGAAACAGGAGAATGTCAGCGGAACTTCTACGCAAATATCCGAATCCCCGGCCTCCACTGACGCCGAGAAAGAGAAGTCCGCATCGTAGACTATGACCTTATGAACAGTCTATCGATTGGTCCTCCCTGTTTTGGTTCAATCTGGTTTTGTTTTCCTTGCTCACTGCCAACGACCCGTCCCCTTGATTCCACGATCTATGCCCTGTTTTCCCTCCCCCCCCTCTTTTGTTTTGCGATTTGTTATCGTCGGGCTCTGAGCCTGTTTACACTTTTTTTTAACCCCCTTCGACTTGAAATGGATATTTGTCTGAGATGGGACATGCGGCAAAGAGACCCAGACGGAATTGAATGAGATGAAAGACAAGAGCTTTGAGATTTTCATGGGGGGTTGATGTTGAAAGAGAGCCCTTCGCCGGGCGCCCAATGGGCCTCATGAACACGTTTCTTACTTTATGCCATCACCACAACGAGATACCGCAGAAAATGCCCGCTATTGACGAGCCATTTACCTACACTTCCCTATCCGTTTTTTTATTTTCTTTCGGGTTCTTCTCCTCTCCTAATCCCCCGTCTATTCCCTACCTACAGTCATTGATCTGGGGTCTGGTCTATACGAGAATGAGTACTTGCTAGGGGTGCAAGCTGGTAGAGCTGGGTATTGATTGAGCTTTCGTCAGGGTGAGTAATGGGCAATGGCAATGGTCATTTACATACCCTTTGGCGTATATCTGATGCATTCAGCGTTTTCTTTGTATCTTGGTAGAGATGTTGTTTTCACGGTTTCTATTTTAAGCACTCGAGTTCTGAAAGAAAGTCAAGTCTGCTGACGTAGACAAATCCAGGGGAACAATGGGAAATCCATGCAATTCCAATGTTGCCAATAGAGTGATGTCCATGGTATCCACGATGTCCACTATATGCCTCTTACCCCTGTATGTACCTCACCGAATCCACACGTGTCAGTGTACCCAGATATGCCAAGACTTAAATTTGCAATTCTCAGACCAAATTTGTAATTCTCTGTATTGTAAGATTAAACCCCGTTCGCCCTAAAGCTCGGGGACTGTGGCTTAGAACAGCGGAGTTGCGCCCCCACTCTTTCCCCAAACAGAAAATTACCAGTTTCCCCTAAAACCGGGTTGCCGTCATTCAGGGTTCATCATTAATTCTCTCCCTGATTCTCTCCATCTCCAACCTTTCATTCATTCCCCTCGGAAGAGATCTCTCATTAATTCTCCAGGGCTGAAATTATGTCGCCATCTACTTCCCCCGCCGCCAAGCGCAAGCGCAGCGCCTCCCACCTTCCCGCGCCCGTCCCAAAGAACGTCACAGCCGACCTCCAGCCATCCTCGCGCGACGCGTCCGGCGAAGAAGGCGGCGACGACTCAACAGGGCCCGCCAATGTCACTTCTCACAGCTCCAATGGTAACCGCCACCCTGCTAAGCGGGCCCGCAAGGCCGCTGCCGCCGATACCGCAAGCCACACCGAGGTGAATGAGGTCAAGCCAGCCATCAACAAGGAAGACCCCGACGAGCCTTCCGAGACGACTGTCGCCAGCAGCGATATTGAGGGCGGACCTCGGTCGCGCCCCGGTTTACATATCGATTTACCCGAAGATGATGAGCCAGTTACAGAGGAACAAATGGCGCCTCCGGTCTTTGGCCGCTTGCAGGATCCCGTCGGTTACCACACCAACCCGCCCCCAACAGGTCGCCCAGTACGCGTATATGCAGACGGTGTCTTTGATCTGTTCCACCTTGGGTAAGTCATCACACGAGCGGACCGAGTTTTAGTTTCGGCCCCCAATTTTCTTCTGGTTTCAGGCTTGCTCGATTGGGTAATGGTTGCTGACTATCACTTTATAGCCATATGAGACAGCTTGAGCAGGCTAAGAAGGCTTTCCCCGATACTTATCTGATTGTTGGTGTTACTGGCGACGAGGAGACACACCTGCGCAAGGGTCTGACAGTGCTCAGCGGCGCCGAGCGCGCGGAGACTATCCGTCACTGCAAGTGGGTCGACGAGGTTATCCCCTGCTGCCCGTGGATTGTGACACCGGAGTTCCTGTCTGAGCACGAGATCGACTATGTTGCTCACGACGATTTGCCATATGAGGCCGCTGAGGGTGACGACATCTACGGTCCTATCAAGGAGCAGGGCAAGTTCCTCGTGACGCAGCGTACAGAGGGTGTCAGCACCACTGGTATCATCACACGGTATGTTCGACTTTCAATACCATTGAATCCAAAAGAACAGAGCTAATATATCGATCTGTAGGGTTGTCCGCGACTACGACCAATACATCTCTCGTCAATTCAAGCGTGGCGCCTCTCGCCAAGAACTAAATGTATCCTGGTTGAAAAAGAACGAGCTCGAGATCAAGCGCCATGTCGTCGAGCTGCGTAACAACATTCGCAACAACTGGACCATGACAGGTCAAGAGCTCGGCCGTGAATTGCGTCAGATCTGGCAGAACAGCCGCCCCAACAGCCCCGCGCCCAGCGCCCGCAACAGCATGGACTGGGGAATGCGTGGGCCTCTCACCAGTCCGACTGGTGGCAGCAAGTCACACCTGTCGCGTGTGGGTGCGGAGCAGAACCGCGCAGATAGCCCCATGGGCTCGCGCCGCAATGAGGATTTTGCTACTGGTTACAGTCTCGGATTGATCGGAGGTGTGCGTGCTTGGGTAAGTCACATCCCACAATTGCTGCATATGCAGGGCAGCGTTATCTAGTGTAACTAGTACTAATTTGTTTCCTACAGATGGCCCGCAGTCGCCAATCCCTCCAGGAACCCCCCAGCGGCATGCACAGTCCCACCGACGAAGAACTCGAGTCCGAGCACAACAACGGCTACGAGGAGGAGGTGCGTGGCCGTGCCGGTCATGTCTCTACGCAGTAGATGGCTATGTTTACTGCCTGTGGAGCCATATTGTCCCGACAAAGCTACAAATTGGGTGGCAGATAGGCCTACCATTCTTCCTGTAGCCGCAATTTACCCTTCTCCCAACACACCTTCCCCCTTATTCCTTTGCATATGTACCCATCTTTTCATTTTGCATTCGGTTCGTGTCTTATACTTTTACAAATTGTGCCGTAACTGGCGGTTTTTCCTATGTCGGGCGCTTGGTGTCTTTTTTTTTCCCCTCCTCTGTGAATGGGCTGTATGCTGGACTTGGCTGGTTCAGCTCGATACAGGCTTTTGTCTTTTGATTCTTGCTTTGGTTGTGGTTTGGCGGTTTCAACGCTCCTCCTTCCCCTTAATACTCTTCCAATGAACTTGTTTCCCGTTTGATGTCTTTGTATATGGCCTTGGTTCGCAGTGATGATTGGGTATTAGTTGATCTGACCCCTTTCATCCGATCATGGTCTTTGATCTTGATGTATCCAAGGCTATTTCTTTTGCCCGTCTTTGTCTTAGTTTGTTTATGAAAGCTGGAATTGATCGGCCAGGCATACCACCTCGGCCTTGATCGTGTCCGGATATCGATTGCACATATAGATTGAGATGGCTTGTTTGATGTTTCGGTTTCCAATTGCGTGGTCAATTGAAACTGCAGATTACTGGATTTGATAGATGATTTGTTCGTATAGAAAGTATATTCTTTACAACTATACGGAGTACCCGTGAGCCCGATAGCCCTAATCTATAGTATTGTCTCTCAATCTGAGACATTCCACGCCACTTAGAGCGGATAAATTCCCCGTCATATTCAGGCCCCGCAAATGGGTACTTACTCCAGGGGATTGAATTAGGTATCCACCTGGTTTGGTAGATGTATGAACATGTGTCACTTTCTCCTGACATGTATCCTCTTTAGGAACCGGGTATATTACTGAAAGACGTTTTGGTTACAATCACTTGCATAAACGGTGGTATCATGACGGCTGAGCATTGATGCAATGCTGGCTTGTTTGCATTTGCCTCAGGCCTTCTTCCAGCCCAGCACATATAATTAAAGCCAATTTCCTTCTCATGGGTATTCCAACCTGTCAACTCCCTCTCCCCATCAGGTTACGACTTACCACTTTCCTCTCCTCATTATGATATAACTTCCTTTGCTAGCTATAATCAACATTATACTATATATAGCGCTTTATAGTGCATCACGAGTTCTTGAGGGTGAACATCTCGAAGCCAATATCATATCTTCTCCTATGTGCTCGAACTCTATGAAATATAGAAGCTATGCGTGGCTTCGCGCGAGTTTTCCACATCTGAGGTCAAAACAAAGGGATTTCCGGATTCGAACTTCCCTCAGAAGTTGCCGCCGTTCTCTCCATGCATCGCAGATTCTGCTTCCTGCCGACACTGGGGAACTTCCACGGTCATTGTTTCCACTCACTCACGGGAGCATTATCGGATTCTTTGGCCATAGTGCCTTGTGAAACAAGGAATCAGTCAACAGGTTTCTTCGATGCTGGACTCTAGGTATACATCTACTTTGAGGGAGCGCAAACACTGTGCAAAATGTGGGCATGGTGCCTGTGAAGACTGGAAGAGGATGTAAGCAAATAAATGATCGCCGGGTCTTCAGGGAGTGAGAGGCTATCCCCATGAAGGGGTTAAATGGTCCCAGCTTGTCAATGGCCCAGAAGGGGAAGGGGAAGCATTGGAACCGCTGAACCATTATCATGCATTCATGTTCATCTTCCTTGTACATGTTCTAGCATAGCATTGTCATTTCATTCCACGCATGTTCATGAGAAAGGCTAGTTACTATGTATACATCATACCTGGCATGGGAATTCAAATTGCACTATATCATTGTTTCAAAGCCACGCTGCTTCAGTTGTATGAACACGGGTAGAGGTCTCGATCACTATCACATCTAGTAATGGTATATGTGCTAAATACATACATAATCCCAAGGATTAGATATCATGTCAAAAGACTTCTCAGTATGTGAAAGATCGGAGAATTATTCAAAAATCCTCTATGTACAGATCACCCAAGTCTCGCATACGCATGTGACTTGCAATAGTATAAAAACCTATCGCAGAAGCTTAAGTCCAGATTTAGACTCTGATCATGGCCATAGTGAGATCTATCCCCAGCAAGGCTTATATATTCTGTGGGCCCAGTGCTGGTCCATGCAAGCCGTTATGCTCGTACTGTTCCAGCGATGACCATCTGTGCCCAGAAATAAAGCGCATAACCCACAAAGATGGTGAGCCATCCACGATGCCTCGGCACATCAGATCTTCCAAAAGCATTCTTCGCAACAAAAAGGTCGCTCACAACGAACATAACAGCTCCCAGGGCTCGCGAGTGCCACCAGTCGGTTGGAACGATCAACGGGGAGGTGGAAGTAGCGGCCGCAAACATTGTACCAATGATAACCGCGTAACCAGAAACCAATGGCTTCATATCCGGAGCAATATCAAGATCCAGTACATTGGTCTTGAGTGAGGAGTGTGATGCGGGATATGTGACACCCAACCATTTTGCAGCGGCCAGAGTCCCTACGAACGTAGAGGCAAAGGTCGTCCAGGAGGTCACACGGGAATCCTGTAGGAAGGCTATAGTGTAGGCTATATGAGCCGCAGCGAAGGCGACGATACCGAGTTGGAAATATATGGATACTTTTCCTTGCGGTTTCGATTTGGCAGAGGTTGGGTATTTGCGATCCAAGCCATGGAATTCTTGCTGTGAAGGAATAAGGAAAAAGTCGCCCAGCAAGGAAAAGACAAGGCCAATGGTGATGAGACGGCGATAATCTGACCACTCTGTGGATGGAAGGAGCAATGGGCTGCTAAGGAAAGCAAGTGAGGAGAGCATTTTGAATACCGCGGTCCCCGTGTGTGATCTGGATTTCCATTCTGAGAGAACTAGTAAGGGCAGCGAGCCCAGCAGAAGGCAGGCCGAATTTGAGATTGAGATATCCATTGAGATCTGAGGGTTTAATGAAATAGATGGGATATATGGAGCAATTGAAGTTCCTCCTTAATATGCAAGTTTCTTGGCGACGAGCGGACCTCGGGAGGCACCACATTTCCTTGTGAGACTGAAGTTTACTTGTTTTTATTATAGTCCCAAAATCCTTTATATTAGCAAAAAGGCTAACTACTTAGGTACGTCCATACTTTTGATAATAACAATACTCGGATGAGACGTACGATCACATTGAAGAATGAGTTCTCTACTAAACCGGTAGACAATGGGCAATAATGTTATGCTACCTGGCCTTCTAGTAGGAGGTTAGGATAGTTGAATGTTGTATCCAACACAGTAGAAACAAAAGGGTATCAAAATAAGAAACAAGAAACATCAAGCAGCAGTAATAGCCAACCTAATTCCCCTCCTCTTCCTCTCATCCATATCCATCCCCTTCACCATCCTCCCAAACCCACTCCTCTCACTCGGCCCACACAATATCCCCCTCAACTCCTCCCTCAAAAGCCCAACATCCCTAATCAATTCCCCCTCGACAACCCCCTTAGCAAGAAGATCACATCTAGCCGTAACTGCCAAATCAAACCCATCCAACCCCCTAACCCCAAGAATAGGCTGTACCCACCCCTCCTTGATCCCAAACGGAATCCTCTGACCCGAAACAATCGCCTCACCAGTATTCCCAACAACACTGGTAAACCTCCCTAAATCCAAACTCAACCCTAACGTCCGTAATCCCTCCAACGAAGCGACAACATCCCAAAACCGAACCCACAACGCATCACTATGCGTATGCGCATAGATTGATCCCTTATGATCCAACCCAGCCATGGGCACCCAGATCGGCATCCACTGGACCGTCAATCGTGAAATGGCATTCCGGGCAGTAGGCGACAGGGAAGCTGCGAATGCAATGAAAGTGTATAGATCGTCGACGTCGAAGTGCGAGGCTTTGTATAGAATTGCCTCTGCTTCGAAGTAGATACCTCGACAAACGCGCAGCAGAGCAGTATTGCTGTTACTTAGAGTTGAAGGAAGATGAGAGTGAGTATGTGGATAGAGGAGTCTATCACTGTGGCCTGGGACTCGGCCGTCGTAGATACGCCAGCGAGCTGGGGTTGTGGGGCAGCAATGGCGGTTTTGGGTTAAGGAGAGGTTTGGTTGAATTGGGTGATTTGATTGGTGCTTATTGGGTTGGCTTTGATGGGAGTGTTGGTGAGGGGTTTGGACTGGGGTTGGACAGCGGACATGGCGAATTTTGCCTTTTAGCTGGACTAAGTGGATGGTTTGGGGGGTTTGGGTGTTCGGGGCTGGGGAGTTGGTGAGGACGTAAGACCAGATTATTTGGCGGAGTTCGGGGGGAAGACGGAGGAGAGGAGATTGTTGAGGTTGGAATTGGGTTGGTGATGGATTCCTCCAGTCTATAGGTGGGTGGAGGGTGTTCTCTGGAGAGCAGATTGCCCGCGATTGGATTAAATCGCGGACGGTGTCCCGCCAGCGATGGCCGGTTGGATAGTAGTGCCAGATGGAGTAAGGGTCACGGAGGACCCAGGTGTCGAAGTGGCGCATTGGGAGATATTTGTTCTTTTAGAGAGGTCTATAAGGGATGTAAGAGTAGAGAAATCTGGGGAAATTATGGGGCAAGTGGGCTTTTATGGAGAATCCACTCCAATGGACTAGGTATATGTAGACTAGTACGTATATAGGTCTAGGAGAAGTGAGATGTAAAATTCTTGGAATTCCAATGCGTTCAAGCCTTGACTGTAACCCAATGACGTCGAGTTGGATTGGCCATTTTCGGATTTTGACATTTTCAATTTGCGGGTTAGTGTGCTCCTTTGGGTTTAGCGTGTCAATTTGGGGTTAGCCTGTCTATTTATGGTTAGCGTGTTTATTTAGGTTTAGCGTACTCCGCCCTCAGCCGATTTCCTCCAATTCTATGGATCTTCCGAGGTCTCCAATGGAGCGCCTATTCCCATCTTTCATGCGTGTCTTGCGTGATCTAGATGACGCTGATGTACTACTCACCACCTTTCAAGAATTCGAAAGCAATCCATCTGCCACTAGTGCAGAGGATCGCATTCGGTTTCTCGACTTCCCCGCTGCAACAACTCTTAGCAAGCAAGAGCTCTTGAAAAAGGCAGCTCAATCACCTCAAGAGCTTACTTTCTCCGAGGTTGAATTACTCTATAACCGCTATTGGGGACGAATCAGCTTCCGGGAAGAAAGTATCCGTTCCGATTGTTTCGACAATCTAAAACTCGAGTGTCTTGAGAGCTTCCGCACTTCTTTCCACGCGGAATACGAAGCAGATGCATTAAAAAATGCAGAGGCGGAGTCTTCCCGACGGTACGATGAAATGAGAGAAGCTCAGGACAAAGCAGATTTAGCGCATATATTCGAGCACGGCTACCCCTGGCTCCACCAGCTATGGCAAGAAGATGAGGGCAAAAGGCCCTGGGGCTATGCAATCTTCGAAAGCCCTCAGTGGATACTCGAGGATCCGGAACGCCAGGAGACCTATGACCTAAAGCAAACTAACTTGTTCTATTGGGCACATGTCGCTATTGGTTCTGGAATACAGATCGGATCCCAGTGGTACCTTGAGTCCCTTGATTTACCTTCTGGAACCGGTAGGGATAAGTCTTTCATGGCGATATTGCATCAACTTCGTAAGCAATTCAACCGTCTCCGATCTCTGCCGCCTAAGAAACAAGCGCCGTATATTTTCATGGATATGGCTGAAGGCAAGATCGACGCCATCCCGGAGGGAATCACAGAAGGTATTCTCCGGAACGTCTTTTTATATCTTGATCATGATGCCGCAGCTTCAGTCTTAGATCTTCGCGGACCAGATGATACATGGATCTGGGCTGTCGACCCAGACTACGATCTAGAATGCCGGGGCTCTGGCTCGAGTGGGTACCAAGGCTTTCTACGCGTTCGTCTTCAACAACTTCTTCATCACTTTTACGTCGCCCGGCGCTGGCACTCGGACGAGTGGTCGATGGAGGACATCTGGAAGGCGGCCCAGAAGGACCCGCATAACGGCTCTTTTGTTTCCATGAAGGATGAAGAAATATATGCTCGAGACTCGAGTCGGGAGGTTGCTGCCGCCATCAAAAGGTCCGGGTAGTCAGAGCAGTATTTGCAGCTCTTAAGTGGAATGTGGGGAGCGTCTCCGCGGTATATTTTCAAGGCTGCTGTCCCAGCTAATTTTAGTATGTACAAAGGTCAAAGCCTATATACCCTAACCCCAGAACGATATATACATAGCCTTGGGATGCAAGCCAAAAACTCAATTCCCTTGCACTGACCCCTCCGCTCTCTCCTCGTCAGCAGCATCCTTGTATCCCTCCACATCACGATACTCCTCCACTCCACTTCCACTCCCACCCCGTTGAACAGGTTTCTCCTGCGAAAAAGCCACAAAAACCGCACAGACCAAAATGATCGCAGATCCAACCCAACTAATCGGACTAAGCGTACTTCCCCAAACAACCTTATCATAAAACACTGCGAAGAGCATCTGCATATAAAGCATGGACGTAGCACGCCCTCCCTGCGCTACAGGCTTTCCATCCGAGACAGACGCAGGCGGGACATATGACAAACCCGCCGTCAACAAGAACTGCAACAGGAACCCACAGACACCCAACCCCGTTAGCAGCGTCCACTCCACAGCCGTGGTAGGTATGCGGAACGGCACAGAAGGCAAGCTGGCCATCGCAACGAACGAAATAACCGTCGTCACGGACGAGAAGTACGTCACGGACACGAGGGGGTGCGCACGACGGCCGATCATACGGATAGAAGTGTAAGCGCCCGAAGCGCCAACCACGCCGAACAAGGCGACGATTGTCGCCATGACATGGTGGTAGGAGTCTGTCTCGGAAGGTGGCTTTTCATCAGTTGAAGCAGATATACCTAATGCCCAAGCGGCAGCGGCAGTTGGGGTAGCGATTGAGATGCTCGGGTCGCGTTTGCTGAATGGACGGGCGATGAGCACGACACCACCGAGAGAGACTAGTCCGGCGAAGAGCTGTTTCCGGGAAAAGGTCTCGCCGGGAATGAGGAGCGAGCAGGCGTAGCAGGAGATAATTGGTGAGAGGAAGGTTATTACTGTTGCCTCGGAGAGGGGGAGGTATTGGACGGAGTAGTAGAGGCCGTAGACACCCATGAAGCCGAAGAGGGCGCGGAGGAGGAGGAGACCGCGGACTGGACGTGTGCCGAGTGGGGAGGGTGTTGAGGCGATGTACATGTATAGGTAGCTTGCAACTGCTGTTATAGACATGCGGGCGAAGAGGATCTGGGAGGTGTTAGTTGGGATTGTATAGAATTGGAGATGGACGATGTAGGAATGTAGATCGGATGAATATGAGGAAATGAGATGGTATCCAACATATCTTTCTTTTCTTTCGGTCTCTTACCTGGAAAGGATGCATCGCACTATGAATCTCCAAGACTTGTGTCATGACATTCATAGAGGCAGCGAAAGCCTGCGCCAGCAGGACAAGCCCCATACCCTTATTGCGCAACCACCATACCTGCCATGCACGGCGGGGTCGCGCAGCTGCAGCAATAACGGCCTCGTCGTCTTCGTCATCCTCGATAGGACGGGGTTCCGATTGAGCCAGCGCTGGCTGGGAGTCGGCTTCGCTCTCACTTTCACAGTTGTAGTCGTGTTCATTCTCGGCTTGAGTTTTCGTTTGCGTTGAAGACGATCTCTGCTCCACCGGGATCGGCAGGGGTGCGTCTGGATGGTCCTGGTATTGGCCGGCTTCTGAGGCCGAATCAAGATTCGGGGTGACCATGCTGGGATCTGTGATCCTGAGGTCGTTATTGGAGAGGGTGGTTGGTGCGGGGACTTTTGTGGGGGACGGAGATGGAGGTATCTAAGCGATGACTTTTTTTCTCTCTTTTGGGGTCGAGTTGATCTTCTATAAAGTCTGATTATACAGTGTCCTCCTCGAGAGTAGAATAAATGCAGATTAACAGTATCTCTAGGCGAAAGGGAAGGATTCATATATCTGCACCGGACTGCCGATCTGGTTAAAAGAGATTTCAGTTCGAAATGCGCATGACGGCGGAGTGGAGCCCCCGTTGACCACTAACCGCAGCCCTACCTCTTGTTTCTTTTTGCCTTTCGTTCTATCTTCACCTTTTGTCTCTACTTTTTCACAAGTTTATTGCTCTTTTTAAGTTGAGTTGACTCAAAATGGGTTGTAAATTTAGCTGCCTAGTACCTAGTTGTGTACTACCATGTACTCCAGGCTATCTTAGAGCCACACAGCACAAGCGGCACAAGACCTAACTACTTCATGTACGAGCTACTAGCTACATATAAACATGCACCTAACGCGGATATTTATCCGCTTTCATTTACCTCCCATCATGCTTCGCTTCGAATTAATCTAAATTTCGACTTCGCTCTCCAGGGCTGGAGTAATGTCGCTTACTAATCGTTATTTCAAGTCGAGCTGCTCAGAGATGAACCTCGAATTTAGTTTGTACTGTTAGCAGACTCATCTATCGTGCTTTCATAGTAGATCTAGCGAGATAGAAAATAGATTATCCACGTCGTAGAAAACCGGGTCCGTGATGTCTCGGAGCCGAAAACACATGGTCTGTGCAGTAAATCTGGCGAAGCTAACGAAGCATCATTCATGATCAGAAATCAGATTCCCAGCTGAGAACAGATGTAGGGCAGCCGTAGCAATCGGAGAGAATATTCCAACAGATAGAGACTCCATGGATGAGAATAAGTTGATAGTCATGAAGCTTAGACTCTGGATTGGACGTCTGTGTCCCATACTTTGTGGAGTGCTTTGCCAGGTTTATGATCCACAATGGTCGTGGCTTTGCCATTGTCATCGTGAGCAGCATAGAATAGAGAAAGCAGCTGAGCTTAATGGCGCATTACTTTCTGGTTCCACAGTATCATTGGCCTTGTCCAAGAGAGGCAGTATTGCTTCTTCTTTCGTCGCGTAACAGGTCAAATAATCATCGAATGTATACATGTATGTACAGAGTGGTATTCAATATCACGACTTAGACTTAATAGAAGGTTGAACTCAAGATTGAGGAAGAAGCAGAGCTTCTCAGGTTCGTGTATCCATTGATAGCGCAACGACCTCTCAGGGTCGAGCCAATCATGAAAGAAGAAAAGAGATAAAAAAGAGAAAACCGTACCAATGTCGACTCGAACCCACGACCCACTCGTCCGAAAATGTGACAGTCTAACCTAAAGCAAGATAGTAAGAGCGGTAGGCCCACTTAATTCCGCACCTCAAGTCGTCGATACGAAACGTCGAAGGAAAAAAAATAGATAGCTTCTCTTTGATTAAGGTACGTCTTCCTTAGTGCAGGGGCCGTACTAATCTTCTCTGTATATTTTCAGTTGACCATATGCCCCGAAGGGCGGAATATCTATTCCCCGAACTAGTTATAACCTCACTTTTCGGATGAGAAATAGTATAGGAAGGTATGGTGATAGGACATACTCGACCGTGGTTGGTCGATTATTGAGGACCCGCTCTGTCGCGCAACGTGGGTCTCGAACTCCCGACGACATTGGCCAATATCACGTGACTTATCAATCCGGAAGGGCCAATCATATATTGACATAAGACCCCACACGGTATAACCTCAATATTGGACGTGGAAGGGAAAAAAAAATAGGTAGCTTCTCTTTGATTAAGCGTGTCATCCTTAGTGCAGGGGCCATGCTAATCTTCTCTGTATATTTTCAGTTGACCATATGCCCCGAAGGGCGAAAGGTATAGTCCTATAGTTCATTTTAACCTCACTTTTTGGCAGAATTATACCGCCTACCGTTTTGGAAATGGGTGGTAGCACCTGCTGATTCTAGGTTTCTGGCACGTGATATCATATTACGTAAGACTTGCTCTTCACCTGGGCACAGTAGCCCTGCCTGAAGAGCAGTTGGTCAGGTGTGTATGTTCAGCTTAAGCATAGAACAGCTTTGACAGCTTGACTACGCATTTTCTAGATGTGATGGTTTCCTTCATTTCACCTAATCTCCTCAAACCAATGATGCAATTACATACTACCAAATAATGGCAACGGAATAGTACAGATCAACACGTTCCCCATCCTTCCTAGTTGATTTGAACACAAACTGAGTTGTGATCCCATTGAAAGGCAATAGACCCTTTGATGTCCGGAATATCGATTGGATATTGAAACGACGATCTATCCGTGACGGTGCCGCTGAATCCTCCAACGTTGTTGCTATCGAAGGAAAGGCTTTTGATATCCACTTGCATCTTAGGCCTGACGGTAATGGATCTTTTGAGCTGATATCAGGTGTTAGAAATGGGTTTCATTCCATTTGTGTTCATAATGAATGAATGTGCAAGATGGAGTGACTCATCATGCAGGGCGGCCGACCTCAATGACTGCTGCAATCAAGTCATTTCCCACCATATATAGATTGTTCAGGAATACAAGGCCAATGTCCTTGAAGTTGCATTGACTATCATTGTTGTAGTTTCCAGTCCTGATGATGACCTAACTTGGATGAGTTTGATGTTTTTGGCCATATGGATGTCATGGTTGAACCATATATTCTCGGTGATCTTCCTCATAACCATCTTGGTGTTTGGTACGATGACTAGCTGAATGGAGGGGGAAATGTAAGAGATTGGAAATAGTTGATATGTAGGGTTTCAGTAAAAGAGTAAGGGAGGGAGCAAACATCGTATGCTTCAAGTTCATAATGAATGGATTGAGAGATAAGGTATCTGTGTAATAAATAAATGTGGGCTTCATAGATGTCTCAATCTTGGACTCGATACTGCTCCTTTTGACGAGAAAATAACCCCCGGGCCAGAAACATGATAGCACAGATGAAGTTGTGTAAAAGAATAAGTCACACGGCTGAGATTATATCTACCTTGAAAAGCATACACAAGCTCTATTCATACAAAAGTAAACGTATCACCGCCCTTCTCCCGCAACATATTTCCAGTCCTAGACGTACCAACAATACGCTCCAACTTCAACGCATCCCACTTGGAGAACAGCGCACGCACACCACCCTCAGCAGCCTCGATCAGCGCCGCGGGATCAAGACCCAAGTACCCAACAATCTCGCCGTAGAACAGCGCATTGTCCGGGAGGCCATACATGACCACACGCTTAACACCACGGACCTGGTAACGGCGGAAATGATGCGCGCGCTCAGTATATAGCAGCACAGAGTGGCGGCCAGACACGAAATGACTGCGGGCACGATTAGCCTCTTTCGGCTCGGTATACTCGGAGATAGCGCCAAAGGAGACATTGGTTGTCTGCGTAGAGGTGGCGAAGTGGTTGCGCACACGGACAAAGTCGAGGTAAGAAGGGATGAAGATGAGGGTGCCGGCGCCGCCCTTGCCACGGCCGTGCGTGATGTTCTTCACCAAGGTTGACAGGATGGTTGTTGTGAAGTGCTTGAAGCGTGCGTCGGGGTCTTTAATGGGCGACGTGCTGTCGATGCGAGTGAAGGTTTGCTTGACGGGGACTGCGAGTGGGAGTTCGGTGATGGCGCCAGCGTAGGTGGGGGTTACCTTGAGGCGGCCCGAGGCGTTTTGCATTTGGGATGAGAAGAGGGCGTTGATCTCGGGGGTGATGCAAGATGAGACCACTACGGTTTGTCGGACGTGGCGGGCTTGGTTGTCCAAGTACCAGTTGCGGACACGGCCGAAGTCGCAGCCATGCGCTTGTTTCGGTTGCAGGTTCAGGTGCTGGAAGATGTAGTCGACGTGGTCCCAGTTTTGCATGAGGAGAGCGTCGGCGTGGTCGACGACTACCAGCTCAATTGAGGAAAGGAAGTCGTGGTCACGCTTCTTGACGTCGGATTGGTCCATGATCGTACGCAGACCCAGTGGACTGGCTAGGATGATGTCGGAGCTGTAGAATTGCGCGAAATATTTGACTGTCTTGCGCGTGAACTTGAGACCCAGTCTGAACATGTCGTCGTCATTGCCGCCGAAAAGCTCACGGAAATCTTCGGTTTTGTGCTCCCAGGAATCATCATTTGGCGCTGAGAACGAGTCGGTGAAGCGCTTTTTGTTTTCTTGCTGCTCGGGTTGGTAGATTCGAGTGATCGCATCGAGAACCTTAACACATGCCTGTCGAGTGGGCAGAATGTAAAGCACCTTGGGGCGGGTGAATCCCTGGTCACGGCACTCAATGTCGGTGTCCGGGTCCTTGGACAGACGGGCGTTATTTTTGAGGACCTGGTCTCGGGTCTTCAACAGGTGGTTGACGGCGTGCAAAGCCATAATCTCGCGCATCTCATTTGCATTAGAAGCAGTACGAGCACCGTATAGAACGTCTTGGTAGTCGAACACATATGGCGCGATGATCTGGGCTTGACCTGTGATTTTAGGCAGGATCTCGGCCGCACGGGACTTCAACTTTTGTTTGAGCTGCGCGATTGCATGTTAGTATTGGAGCCAATATGAAATGCATGTCTGTTCTGCATACCTTGATATTGGTTGTGCTCTTCAGTGGCGGAAGGATTGATGCGCTATTTGCTCCTGTGTCGGGAACAGTATGTACCAGCCGTAGTCCATCTACCTCTTTCTTGACGATTGCCCATTTGTTCGATTGGATAGGCTCAATCTGCTTGGTCAAATCCGCACTATCGCGGAGATCGAAGTGCTTTTCAAAAGCGGCAGTTGGGTCCTCATCCTCGTCTGCTTCCTCCTCTTCATCGTCGGACGGCGCTTGGGCTTCCAAGTCATCATCGCCCTGCTCTGGTTCCTCTGCAGGTTCTGCTATTTGAATCTCAGCATTCGAGTCGGTGGCGATCTTGCGCTTCTTCCGAGCTGGTCCGCTTGACTCATTGGGTTGAAGTAGCTGAAGGAGTTCGTTGTAGGGGCGTTCGGTATTTTCATCTTCTTCGTCGCTGCTGGAGGCGCCCTCGTCCATAAGGGTGTCATCGCCCAATTCCTCTTGGGATTGCTCGCTAGCATCATCTTCTCCGCCAGAAGAATCATCTGATCTAGTACTAGTTAGATACAGTCATTAGAGACTTTCAGACTGAGAACTTACTCGGACTCATTCAATCGCGAAGTGGCAAAGGAGTTGCGACCACCACGACCACCACGACCGCCGCGACCACGACCTCTGCCACCTCTGCCACCACGGCCACCACGGCCTCGAGCTCCTCTAAAAGAACCGCCACGAGGAGCAGGCATATTGTGTGTATAAAGTAAAAAGGTGCAATCTCCAGGCTGTTGCCGGCCGAAATGAGAATTTTGGGGGCTTATCTTATCTTAGCGCGAAATTTCCCACACACAACAGAATCGGAACAATCAGAGCGGCTCACTCCACTTCCAAGGAAAAATTGAACCTCCGAGAAACGAAGGAAGTTTGGATCTTGAAACTTGACATTTCATTCAACTCCAAATTAATCATGGCTGAAGATTCTTTCCTTCATCTCGCTCGCCCTCTCGGCCCCGTTAGCGTGGGGACCGCTCCTACCACTGCCCCTCTGAACGTGGTCATTCAACCCCAGGTATGTTGCGATATGTGTGTGCTATGATCTGAGGGGTAAAGCTCATTCCTCCCAAGGCAATCTTCTCAGTTCTCGACCACTCTCTTCGCCGCAATGCCGACCAGGAGCGAGTTATCGGTACACTCCTCGGAACACGATCTGAGGATGGAAGTGAGGTCGAGGTCCGATCCGCCTTCGCTGTCGGCCACTCCGAGGCTGAGGACCAGGTCGAAGTCGATATGGAATACCACAAGCAGATGCTCGCTTTGCACCTGAAGGCCAACCCCCGCGAAGTCTTGGTTGGCTGGTACGCCACTGCTTCCGAACTCAACACTTTCTCCGCTTTGATCCAGAACTTCTACAGCGGCCAGGGTGATGGTACCTGGCCTCACCCCGCTGTCCACCTGACTGTCTCCACCGAGGCTGGAAAGGACCTCGAGACCCGCGCCTACATTTCCGCCCCCGTTGGTGTCACTGCTGAGCGTGCTGCCGACAGCGCTGCTTTCATCCCCGTTCCCTACGAGCTCCGATACGGCGAGGCCGACAAGAGCGGTCTTGAGTCTATCGCCAACGCCAAGGATGCCGAGGATCGTTCTACTTCCGTCACTTCCGACATTGAGTCTCTGGAGCGCGCCATTGAGGAGGTTCTGTCCATGGTTGACCGCGTCTCGCGCTACGTCGAGTCCGTGATCGACGAGGAGACCCCCGCTTCGACTGCCATGGGCCAGTTCCTGCTTAACGCCCTCGCTCTCGCTCCCAAGGTCGAGGCTGCCGACATTGAGCGTGACTTGTATGTTGAATCTGTATTATATTCCCTGGTGGCTTTTATCACTAACCTTGCACAGCAACAACCACATCCAGGACGTCCTGGTCGTTTCTTACCTTGCCAACACCGTGCGCACACAGATGGAGCTTTCCACTCGGCTAGCAACCGCCCAGCTCACCCTTGGCGGCGGCGGCGGTGGCGGCGAAGGCCCCGCTTCCGGCGAGCAGCGCAACCAGCGTGGCGGCAAGGGCAACAACCAAGGCGGCCGCCCCCGCCAGGACCGCAACGAGGAAGCCCGCGCATGAGAGGTTTCCAACAGCAAAAAACGCTGATGCATAATGTGACCAATTGCGAGAGGAACATATCCCTTCAAGTGAACGTCGATGTCTCTCACGTTCTCTTACCTTTCTATCTCACTCCTCCCTGACGTTATTACTTTTGGGTCTTTCGCTTCTTTGTTTACTATCCCTCTACCGCCTTCTTCCTTTTTTTCCTTTTTCCGGCTTCCTCTTTTTTTTTTCCTCGCGAGGCTTGCATGTTCTCTCCGGAGCTCACGGACTACGGCCTGGTCACGTCCCATCAACAGCTTCCGGACTCGGTCTGTCTTGACGTCGAAACGCGGTCTTCTGCACGTGGTGTTGTGGTATTGAGACCGATTTAATATCAATGCGATTGGTATAACGTGTGGTGGTTGATGAGGGTGACGATGTCGTTACCGTTCGACGATAGAGAATATTTGGGGGTGAGTCTAGACTGTTGAAGATGAGAGATGGGTCTGCTGAGAGCCAATCTCTCCGGTTTACGAAGTCGCATCTTTCTAGGCGCGGCGTTTTCAGTTATGATGAAATGGACATAAAAGTTCTAGAGCTTCTTCGTATTGTATATCCCATCATTTACTACTCCGGCCGTGGTCATCAAAGTACATATACATACGTAGACCGGCTATATGTCTACACAATACTCAGTTGTATTTACTCGGGTGACCCAGTGGCCTTTGATTGAAGCCTGTATTCGGTGCGAGGCTGGTGGCTAGCTATATCTCTTGGCTACTCGACACAATATTCACCTGTGATACAATTATTAAACTATATAGCCACTGCACAGTCCTGCTAAGCAGGCTCAGGTGTCCACAACTGATCTCCACAGCTGCAGTGTTGGAGCCCGCGACCAACAACAGCATAGCCTAAGGGATCTACCTGAACAATAAAAGGCTTAAAGGGACAGCTCAAAGAGAAAGGAAATTTCAATGAAGAAACTCAATGAAGACTCTACCGGAATAGCAGGTAGCTGCAGTGTACAAACATGCGATCACTGGTTGTCCAAGGGATTGAATGCTGAAAGTTTCAGACTGAAGGTTCATTGAAGGCATCAAGTAAGCTCGACTCTGTAGAAATGGTGGTCAAAATATAGCGCTTTGGCTAGCCAACATGTGTTGTCCGCCTAGCCTCGGTCGTAACGGTGTCTGGCAATCCAACTCCTCGCTGAAGCTAGGATCGATACCAAGAGCAGCATGAAGGAGCTTTACAATACCCTCATTGCCGTATAATATAGCGCGAGAGAGAGGTGGATCGCCAAAGCCACCAGCGAGATTAAGATTAACACCAGGAGTAGTAAGAAGAAGCTTCACAATACCCTCATAGCCGTGTAATATAGC